CCTCGTTAACTCGTTAGAATTAGCACTTCGTTATATATTATGGCTTTTACAGTACATGTATCCGGGAATCGCATGTTTGCTTGTGCCATTCTCTACAACCACTGAATATAGCGTGGACGTCACAGTCTTCAGACTTCAGTGCTTTGCACCACACTCTCCTTTACATGCGTACCCCAAAGTGGTCACCCAAACAGGGCCAGAGCACGGTATTAACCACTCAAACTCCAAGCTAACCTCAGACCCTGCTAATTCCTCCGTGGCGTAATGACGTACAGTGAAACCTGGCTAAGACGACCGCCGCTCAAGGGACCTTCAAAACGTGGTCTCTGTAACCAGGTGGTCTCCTTATCGAGGGTCATTTGACTAGAAATACAATGTAGCATCCCTTGGTCCTGGCTGCAGTGGTCTTCTAGGACAGGTGGCCGCCTTATGCGAGTGGTCGCCTTCACAGGTTTTGTTGTAGTTTGCACTAGCAACACCCTACACAGCCACCCGGGCATGGTTGTGTAGAGAGCGTTGAACAGTGCAATCCCGATCCCAGCCTACACAGCCACCCGGGCATGGTTGTGTAGAGAGCGTTGAACAGCGCAATCCCAATCCCAGCGCACTGAGTGCACATACCGTATTTCCGCGCATATAAAGCCATGGCATTATAGGTGAAACATCACTGTTTTGGACCGAAGGTTTGGAGAAAATAGCCTCGGTTTTAACGCCACGGCGCTAAAAGTGAGAGACGCATACATGCAAAAATCGGCAGAGTATGAACTTCGAGTACTCGTACGGTGACGTTGCACGTTCATGTCGAGCATCCATGTACTTTCAATTTTCCCTGAAAATTTCAAATTGTGAACCCATTGTGTACAAGATGGCATACAAACGTGTGTGAAGGTGCGGTGGTGGTATGGCATGTGACAGTGGGGATGGGTTCATGCAGAGAGAATCACCGCTACTGTAGGTTCACTGACAGAATTGAACTCACCTTTAACGCCAGATTCAACTTCCTCCACATTGAATTTCGTTCACTTATAACGCCATGGCTTTATAAGTGAGGGTGGCCTTATTATATTCGGATATAACGCCATGGCTTTATATGAGCGGAAATACGGTATAAACCCGATTAGAGGCTCGTGAGGCCAGACAAGCCCAGCTTGCAAAGTTGAAACATATTGTGTTGTCGGTTCATGTTTGGATAGTTAGAATGTCCGGATATAAAATAGAAGTTTTTCCTGGCATTTTGAGGTTCGGATCATCAGGATTCCACCTTTACATATACACAGTAAACTGCAGGTCCAGAGCAGACCGGCAACGGCAGAATTATTTACTCCCCACTTCAACCCGGCTGCCAACTCACTGTACTTCAACTCCCCAAGGGCCCGCAATCTACAGGACAGTTTACCTACACAATAGAGATGTTCTGCTCTACGTTACGGGAACGCGACGCGAAGAATTCCGGGTCCTTAGGAACTCTCTTCCCCGTTCCCGTAACATAAAGAAAACCTGTTCTGCTCTACGTTCACGTAGAGAAATCACGTGGAATGGGTTCTCGGAAATTCCCCATCCGTAGTTGGCAGTTTTCCGCCTGCATTCGAATGATACCCAGCAGATCTGTACGCATTTTCTCTGCGTGTGCCACAATGTAGAGAACCTCATCTACGCGTAGAAATCTGGACCCAAAACACGCGAAGCCGTAGACTTTAACCCAGACACCTGCTCTCTACGTGATTTCTCTACGTTTCGCGAATAGCAGAACCTCTCTACTGACGCCCCAGATCTGAGTTTGATAGAATGCTAACTCAAGCACATGTGCCGAGAAATCTGATCTAGATGTAAACAAAAAAGTAGTTAAAGTCAACAAAGGCGATGAGGCCAGCTCATCGCCAAACAACAAAAGTCCACACCACCGCCGCCGTCGCCACCATACTTCACACGCCAATTGAAAGCAAGGTTATAACTTGGAAGGTACCTGCACAAGGTCAGTCACGAACTCCTTGATGTGCTCGCCGATCTCGTGCGGCGAGTCCTCCTGCAGGAAGTGCAGTCCGGGCACGCTGACCACCTTCTGGTTGGGCCAGTCGCGCATCGCCTTCAGGCACGCCTTGGTGAAGTAGCCTGGGTCAGCGCCGATAAACAGCTTTGGCAGCGGCGCCTCGGCCAGCCACGACGCGTAGGACTTGATCACTTCCTCGACGTCCTCAGGGCCCTCGCCCTCAATCGGGATTTCTCGCGGCCAGGTCAGCGTCGGCCGGCGGAAACGCTGCAAGTCGAGCTCAAACGGCCGCCTGTACTGCCTCATTTCATCAAACGACAACTTTCGCAGGATGGAGTTGGGCAGTAAGCGCTCGACAAAGAAGTTCTTCTCGTAGATCATTTCCTCCCCTGCGTCCGAACGCAGCAGCTGGAAGACCTTGCGACCCTCCTCGGGGAATGTACTCCACGGTATCGGTGCATGCACCAAGCTCTCCATGTGCACAATGGCCTTGACGCAGTCGCGGTGTCGGTTGGCCCAGTGGAAGCCTAGCGCAGAGCCCCAGTCGTGCAACACCAGGATGACGTCATTGCACTTGTCCAGCCCTTGCTGTCTGAACCACTCATCCAAATACTCGACGTGCTGCATAAATCTATATTGGTAGTTCTCATCTAACGTTTTTGCACTGTCTCCCATACCATACAAATCAGGTGCCAGCATACGAATTCGCAGATCAGTCAGATGCGGCAAGATATTGCGCCATAGGTACGACGATGTTGGATTACCGTGCAGAAACACAACCTTGGGAAACCCATCCTTCTGCTCATACTCGTAATGCATAATTTTCTTGCCGAAAATCTCTGAAGGCTTCTGCACGAACAGGTCCTCGTTCCATCGTGTCGCAATTGGTCTTTCCGTGCCGGATTTACTACTCTGGCTTCTCGACGCCATTGTTGCAACAAGTACTCGGCATGGCAGACGCTTAGTCAGCAGAGAGGCTGACAAAGCCTTTCTTGAAAGCAATCCACTCAACGCCATCGCCGCATCTATCTGACAATCGTGAATTTTACAAAAACTAACAATAATGATGCTCAAAATCATAGTCCATGATGACGTAATCCATAGGTGCACGTACGTGACGGCTGACGAGCAAAAAACTCCAAGCGCTGTCGACGCGACATTTTTAAAGGGGAAGTGCATCGATTTTTCAAGTAGGGCTCAGATGGAAGATTATTGGTAACCTTGGTGGCTTAAGCGGGATTCACAGAAGCTTTTTTGTGATGCGACACGCGATGCGACAGGCGCGAAACCGGGAAAACCCCAAATCGCAGCCATGTCGCGGCCCACGCAACTGCCGCAACTGGGCCATCGCAGAAGTTGAGCTTGGCTCAACTTTTGCGATGCGATGCGATGCGACAAGCGATTTGGTGTACGATTTTGACCTTTTCTACAGCAAAGTTGTACAAAGGTGCAAGAGTTGCCTATAAATTTTTACAAGTTGTGTCAAACCGCGCGAATATCATGGTGACGTACCCAAATCAGCAAAACTTTGTCGCATCGCTGACTTCTTCTGTGAATGGTATTTCGCGAGTTCGCATCGCACGCATCCATCGCAGATCGCGTCGCATCGCGTGTCGCATCGCAAAAAAGCTTCTGTGAATCCCGCTTAAGACGGCCCTACACAGTGTAGGCGGCCTAGCCCTATGCCCGGCGTAAGGCCGACATGTCATAATAAATTAACCCTTTACCGGCAAGTGCATTTTGTATATGAAATCCATAACATTGAGAAGGATGCCAATAACTCACAACGAGGGCACATTTTGTATGTGCATGTTATGTTTTCTTGGAAGTCTGGTACTACTTCTTGACGATGGAAAAAATTATTTTCACATACCACACACATACGCTACTAAATTGGCACCTATACGTCTAAACACGGAAATTGTACACAATGCAAATCGTCAGATTCCGACATTGACATGAAACTGCCAAAACAAGTCGACTTCAGAGCGGAAACGAACGCCATAGCCATCACAGACTTCAGTGGCCGTGCCTCGCTCGCAATTGAGAGCAGCATCGCCCCAAAATCGCTGGCCGATGGCTCCGTAAGGTCGTGCGCAAGTCGCGCAGCGCTGCCGTCACTCAGGTACGTAGAAAGTCGATGGCCTAAAATTCCGTCTCTGGAAGACTGTCGACACGGGGATCACTCTCCATGGCTTCCACACCATAAGCACCATCAGATTCTTCCAGGTACATTACGACGACATCGTCTTCAGCGGCTGGAGCTCCCGATATTTGCGTGAGAATTTACTTGGCGTGCGCTCCGCTCCGCAATTTGAAATTCGCTTGCATCGGCGGCTGGAATGAAGTATTTATCAATCTGTCGTGGGTCTCTGAGCGAAGGTCTGCTAGGTCCTCGTCGGAGAAGTCATCTGAGGACGAAAGGAAGTCACTGCGCAAGAGGAAATGCACCTGACGACGTTTTGACGGAGGCAGACGGCATTGTCGGCGCGCGTGTATTTCCGTAAATTTTCGATCGCGCAGTTCTCAATGAAATCAAATGGGACACGCGTAGATCTCTTCAGCTACGGATAGGATCATACCTAGGCTGTGTGAGGGCCACGGGAAATCCCCGTGGGCTGATGCTTCCTGTCATACCAGGCATGGTTTTAGTATGCATGTCGAATGCGTCGTTTACGACGCATTCAAGTATGGGGCTGCCGGTAAAGGGGAAGTGCATCGATTTTTCAAGTAGGGCTCAGATGAAAGACAATTGGATATCGGTTCCGATGGTATATCTCTCGCTTGCGTACGGCAAGGGAAACTTGCCATATCGCCAATTTCCTGATCCCGTTTCCATGGCGACTACAGGTGATGACGCACATTCTGCTTAGCTCCGTGAGAGAGAAGGTCGATCACTGCAGAATTGTGTCATTTTCAGTTGTCTTCTTGTATTCACGAAGTGAAAGAAGTACTGTGTTCAATGCTGTTAGTGCCGTGAACTGTTTATTAGTAGTCCTCTCCGTTGTGTACTGGGACGTGACACCGACAGGGGAAAGCTGGAGTGCGGAGACGTTAGCTGGCAAGCGAAAATCGTGACGAACCAAGTGCTGAAATCTTGGTTGGGACAAATCAAACGTTCAGCATTTACCTCAACCAAGGACCATGCCGTTTGCTCTTTCCACTTCCTGAAGATGGATGCGCTGCCTGCTGGAGACTCTCCTATCTCTCGTAACATCTTCTGAAGCCAGGTGAGACGACGAGTAGTGGAGATTAGCGAACGAAATCAAGTAATGTCGTATGTTTTGAAATTTTTGCTGCTCAGGAGAGATGGCATTATAATTATGAACTTAGTCCATGTGAACTCAATCAGCCCATGAACTAACCCATGAACAAATGCTTTCCTTGCAGACGTGCATGTGTCTATCCAATCTACTCTTGACCATACCATGGCCACTTTTTTTGTAGTACATGTACCGTAAAGTACCGTTGATCCGCCCCCTCTCTAATTCCCGCCCCCTGTCGATTTTCTCCTTGTGAAGCGACTTCGGCGTATACAACGAAATACGATGTTGAACCGACGCATACACTGCTGTACACAATACTTGCCAATCCAGGATCAAAATGTGCACAATCCAGCACATTGAGACTGATCCTCTACGTTGTTGTACATCGTACTGCACTTGACAGCCTTGATCTAATTCCCGCCCCCTGCCGAAAACCCAGCTGGGAAGCGACATGGCGTGGGGGCGGATCAACGGTACTTTACGGTACTACCGTATTATCTCTAATATAGTAGTAATAATAATAAGCACGGTCTCCAATAATAGAACACCTTGGGGCGGCACTGATTCAAAAAATAAAGTGCTCAGTCTCCATTATAAGCACACTCATTATCTGTACCGGCGAAAAAAACCCTGAAATGTGTGTGTCATACATGAATTTGGCATGGCAACATGCCTCTGAAATGAGGTTGAAATAATAATGGAACAGTCTCCAATAAAGGAACGTCTCCATTAATAGCACGGGGCGGAGGTACATTGAACAAATAAAGGACCGTGCTATATTAGAGATAATACGGTATACTGTTTAACGCAGGTTGGTGACGTGCGCGGCCGGTACGAAGACCAACAGACAGCTAGCTTGTCACAACTACAAGGTGGAGGTTCCACCGAGTTTATAATTATATAAAAATGTAAGGAGCAGTAAAAAATATTCATCAGTCAGTTGAAGGGAAATTGCAAACGGGAAAAATCTGGAGAAAAATTGACTGTCACCACCATACCGACCAGGACTGTGAAAAGATACATGTACATGTGCTAGTACCTACCGGTAGTAAAGTCAGAAGCAGGACATACAGTACACCATTTTATACGTACATGTATATAATTATGTATAGTCACAAGCGTACTAGTGGGATGTATTATACCTTTGCTGACCTTCATACATTCTCAATCTCTAAAAAGGAGTTTGTATGGTGGTGGTCTACATATATATATATATATATGGGGTTTGTATGAGGTTTATATGCCCAGTATAAACCGCCAGCATGATGGGCAAGTTGACTGGAAGTTTGTATGAAAGGTCAGCATAAGTACATGTATGTACGTGCACTACAGTCAACTTTGCATACTAGTAACGACACGGCTCGGCGGGGCATCAGAAAAGTGTCCCGACGTTATTCCAGAAGTGTCCTTATACCCGAAGTCTCATTATATTCATTACAGTTAGACTTAGATGGGACTATGCTCTGGGCATGGGAATTCTGTCGTTATTCGCGAATTGTCGTTATATCTGCAGTAGTTGTCTGTAGTAGTAGTAGAAGTGAATGTACTCAAAAAGTTCTCTGTGTGGCCATAATAAATAATAAATTATTACCTCTATGCCGGGGTAACTTGATTGCTAATGCCGTAATGGCTCAATGACTGAACAAAATCAACGTACGTGTACACCGTGACAGTTTGCCTCCAGTACATGTACTATTGTTGCAAAACTGCAGTCTCGCATTCTACAGTGCTGTGTTGCTCAATGAAATCAGAAAGTGAGCGAGTCAAGTTTGCACCCCTCCCTCACGCGGCTCAATACGATGTGTTTTGGCAAACTCACCCCTCATTAGTTGACTCGGCAAACTTTGGCCTGCAAGAAAGCACCACTCCCTGCTCAATGCACAGTGTTTCGGGGAATTCACCCGGGCCTCATCAGTTAAGCTCGAGTAGGCTGCGGAAGACTGTGTCTGAAGTGAAGAGCACCACTTATATGTAGTGCTCTCCAGGCCTTGCTTCTTTCCGGTCGAGTATCCCGGGGCCATTTCAGTGGTCGGACCACTTGAAATTCCGGTGCTAAGGCCCTGCAAGGATCTAGGAGAGCTTGGAGCTAAGTGAAAACTGGGGGCCCCGCCGAACATTTTTTTGTATTGTATTTTATTATTTTACTTGGGCATTCCCAACAGACCCTAGCCAAGGTTTTCTTCAAGTACAGGATGCCCGAACAAAATTATGACCAGGGAAAGCTTGAATAGCAAACTGGACTTCTTCCGAATTACATCTGCAAGAAGACTGCCAGTGTGTCCCCGGTGACAGAGGGGTTCAGACAGAGATGATGGGGAGTTGATACTGTCCACTGACGAATCGTGGTGTTTATTCACAGTGAGACACGTTGTGTACTGCTTTTTTGTTTTATTTTCATTTTTTGGTGCTGCCGAGAGTTACGCGCCTAACGAAAATTGATATTTGTATAGCAGAAGCTGGACTGATTAACATGGCAGCACAGGGTGCAGGAAATTAGCAGCATTGGTACGGCTTGTGTTTTTCGGGAGAATACTGAAAAGAAACGCAACAGAATTTGCCAATGCTATTGAACTCCAGGCTAAGAAAGAGAATGTGGTGTAGCAGCAAAGAAAGAGCGAGGTGTGGCTTGTAGCCTTGATATGAGATTTGTTTTGTTTTTGCCGAGCTGTCAGCGAAATGACACGAGAAATAGATGTGCTTTGGTTAGGATTGGTGTATAGTGCAAGCGTGCCGGTTGAGAAAAGCCTGTGTGTAAAAACTACAAATCGGGATAACGATACAGTGATGCCAACAGCCGCATTCTTGTGCAAACTGGAGCATGGGAGTGGGTGCAAATGCAGGAGCTATTGAAAAATGGTGGCCGTGGAAGAACACGATGTTTAAGCGAAGGGGGGACCAGAGAGGTGGTTGCTGGCCTTGACGTGTGAACCATTGGCGTGCGCAACGCCGTGGCCGCCATGGGCTGGCGGGGCATGGTGATCATTGCCCATGTCCATTTTCTGCTGCTGCTGGTGGTTCATGTTCACGCCGCGCTCCGATTGGTCACCGCCATTCGATCGGCGCTGCTGCGGCTGGTTGCGAGGTCTTTGCTGCCTTCGCTGATCCTTTCGAAATATTAGGTAGGAAGCACACACAGGGAAGGTTTTAGTGTCCAGACACTAGTTCATAAAAAGGTTCAAAACATGTTGGCTGATGATTGCGTGAGCATGAAACTTGAAGTAGCAGCAAACAAGCCTTGATTGTCCTTGTTCTGTTCTGTATTATGCTCTGCCTCCGCGGTGAGCACTGTCAGTACTCTGGGTACATCCTCCGGACACTCAGTTCATAAAAGGTTAAGACATTTAGTTTTCTCCACCACGAGAAGCTCTACAAGACTGTGGGAAAATGTTTTCCGAACGTGTACTTACCGACTCGGGGAATGCTGCGGAATTTCTCTGGAAATACGGCTCGTTACCGCCGGCCTGCAGATAGTACGAGCAGAAGGAGGTGCCAAAGAAGTTGGGGCCTTTGCGAAAAGGCACGGGTTTGTGGATTAGGGCTGCAACGAATTTTCTAAATGGTGAACAAAAGCTAAACAAACTCAGTGAAGCTATTAGGTACTGTGTATGACCTTTAGCATGATCCCGCAGCCCTTGTACTGTGTAGGACCTTTAGCATGATCCCGCAGCCCTTGTACTGTGTAGGACCTTTAGCATGATCCCGCAGCCCTTGCCATGGCATACAATAGTCGCGCGCTGACGAACGCGGAGCCCAAGAACATCCAGCCTGCAATACTAAGAACGCCACAGAGGTAATGGTTTTAGAGGGAGTCTGCCTGTATGCATGAATGATCTACCATAGTGTGCCAACTTTGAGAGCAACCTGCAATTCTGGTTCATGCTCTTGGTATGGATTTCCAGAGTAGAAAGTAGATTCTAGACTATGCAAGTTCAGAAACCTGGTTTCGAACCTGGAACGCAACCGTCCTTTGGATTTGAAAACGAATAGGTCACTGAACTTTCGAACCTTTGTTGCAACCCAGTTGTGGATACAGCAAAAATACATAAATCTTGAGCTACTCACTTCTTGGTAATAAGGCCGACGCATATTTCCGCCTCTCCTGTTGAACTTCGGATAGCTTGGGTACATATAGGGTTGCATTGGTGGTCCGTAGTAGTCAACGTAGCCTCTGCGATGGCCGCCACGGCCACCACGTCCGTAGGGCCTGCCCCTTCCACCACTGTAGACGTAGCAACAACAACACACACACATGGACGGAATCAAAAGTGAACGAAACGTGGAAATCGGCGAAAATGCCTTTTCCGCAGCAAAAGGCGAAAATGCCTTTTCCGCAGCAAAAGAAAGGTCCGGCCGTACAATTAATTGATTGGCACAGGTAGTAACAGTGCAAGACAACATGATCACAGTACGCGACTAACCGGCGTGGTTGATCATAATCATTTTGTCCTCGGAATGCATTTTGTCCTCGGGATCTGACGCCACCTGATGGGCGTGGGCCTTGTCGGTCTTCGGTCTGAAAAATTAGAAGCGCATATAAGATTCAAAATGGTTGTTAGATACGCGTGGAAGCCCATAACATTAATAACATCCTAAACTGCTACGAATCTAATAGCACAGTGCCTTCTGCACTACCAGAGAGTGCAAGACAGAGAGAGAGAGACAGAGACAGACACAGAGAGAGCCGAAGTTCTAGAGAGAGAGGAGAGATAAAGAGAGAGAGAGATAAGAGAGAGAGATAGAGAGCCGAAGTTCTAACTCCTTGGCACAGCTCACCTGTCGACGAGAGTCGCCACCTTGCTGCTTCACGTGTGGCTGCTGTTGCTGTTGCTGTGGCTGCTGCTGTGGTTGCTGCTGTGGCTGCTGCTGTGGTTGCTGCTGTGGCTGCTGGGAATTAGCACTCTCGCTGGTTTTCTGATGGCGCTTGCGCCTTGGTCCTTGCTTGCGTGCTGGCTTCTTACGGCTCTCGTCCTGGGAGTCCTCCTGCGAGGAGGTGTTCATTTGTGGGTTGCCCTCCTCAGCGGCGGAGTTCCCGTTTTGTTGCGGTTGGTCTTGCTGTGGTGACTGTGCGCTTCGTTCTGTGCGGCGGGAACGCTCGTAGTTACGGCGGGTGTTCGTGCGGCGGTAAAATCTAAATGCTGAAGATGCATGCACACGAAAAAGAAACCTGCATCTATTGACCGCTGCCATAAGAGGCCAGTCATCGCAAGACCTAAGCATGCTTCGGCATACACATCATAAGATGTGTGTAGCCTATGTTTTACCACTGATCACACTGGTCACACTGGTCACACTGATCACACTGATCACACTGATCATAGGTTTCACAGTTGTTCAAAGTAAGTAAGCAGTAGCAACGCTACTACTGGTGAGAATATTACATGGCGTTCATGCAAGTTTATGTGTAAGCTTTACAAAAGCAATAGTGAATTGAACCTTTCCCTTGAATTCTATCGGAGATTCTTGTAGATGTCACGCAGCTTGGATGGGGGGGGGGGGGGGACTGTTCAGTCCAAACTACAGACTACAGTTCGGTTAACCCCGACTATGTTGGATTATTCGATTGATTTGCACACATTATGGCGCAACATGCAGTCATGGATTTTGGATTTAATGATATTTGGGCATGGCTGTCGGATAAATGGAATCGATTCCATTAAATAGATGCCGGTGGGAGGGGGGGGGGGGCTGGTACCGTAATGGCAGGGGTGTAAACAATCTGAATGTTTGGCTCGGCTAATTCTGCTCTCGCAGCATATTTCCACTGCCACATGAACAGAGCGTAGTGATTTAATATTGTCAATCAACTGTACCACTGACATGCATATTCCACAGCGACTGCATAATACATTGTAGCTGAGTGACATTGACGATGCTGGCAAGTCGAATCGTGCACTGCAGAAATGAGTGCAGTGTTGTGGTGCATGCATATTGGATTCCAATAGACTGCACCCAAACTAATCCGTATTTCCCCGTAAGTAAGTTCTCCCCAATGACTTAGTACCCCCCCCCCCCCCCCCTATAAAAAATACACTTTCCACTGCCGAGGTTATCACCCCGAAAGACAGTTCCCCCCCGAAAGATAGTAAGTTCGTACCCGTCCTACATGTACAGACACCGTACAGTACATACATCATATGCACGGACACTAGAGTTGCGCAGGCTTCCCACTGCGTGTCATTCACCCCGATAAAAAAGTACTCCCCGAAAGATAGTACCACCCCCGAAAGTTAGTTAGTACTCATGTGGCTGCTAAGTTCGAAAGTTAGTACGTACTAACTTACGGGGAAATACGGTAATTCACCAGCCCGTCGAAAACGAGGTGCTAGTCCCGGGGGAAGAGGATCAAGGTAAGCACATCATTCGGCAACCGCGGCAGCACCGCCCAGTTCTTACCATCATAGCGACTTCCAAGAACAGATTGGCCGCCGATTCCAGTCACATGTATTGCTTCGCGGCCCTACCCAGGCAGGAAAGGCAACAAAATATATTCAAAGAGCGATGACTACAGGCCATTCAGAAAAAGCTGGCGCTAGCTAGCTCTGGAGAGCTCCGTGTTTGATTTTTCGTGATCATATGGTACACTTTGCAGTGCTGCGAGATTCGAAACTTGGAAAAGGGTCCAAAAAGGTGCCTCAATTGGGGTTCGAACCGCAAATGTACCGTTATGCAAGTGGAATGAACGGCCTGGATTTTCATAGCTTTTTTCCAGTTCAGTACACCTGGCCGAAATCCTATTCTTGTTATGGCTTACTCTTGGGAGAAATAGACTCAAGCTCAGCGGTGTGTTTCCGGAGTATACGCCGCACTTTGAACACTCAATGAATTCACCCCCGAAAGGGGGGGGGGCACGGCTTCACTCCGATGATCAATATTTAATTAACGGCGATACAAACATTACACAGCAATGAAGCAAGCAAATCTCTTTCCGCTGTTACTCTGATGATTTGTGTGAAAACACTCATCCGACAGCATATGTACGCAGCCTGCCTGCCTGTGCACCTTAGACAACTGTCTAAATAAGGAAAATGTCTGTATTTCGTGGCAAAAAAATGGGGATGCGGCTTATACTGGGATGCGGCTTATACTCCGGAAATATGACACTCTTCGAGAGCATCCAAAATACAAGGCCGGATCAGGACACTACAGTTAATCCAGATGCTCTTAATCCGGGCGCATCCATCTACAGGGCACCTTTTTGACCATCTAGGTCACACAAAAATGGCCCAAAAAACTATTAATTGGATTGAAATGAAAAGTGCTCACTTGTATGCAGTGAGTAAGCACGTGCATGTACAAGTACTCGAGTTACAGGCGATTCCTACTAGTTACGAGCAGTGCTCGGTTCCAACCTGCTCAGATTAGTGGAGTTTACAGGGTACAAATAATCAAATAACATAATTACTGCTGTGTTAGTTGACAGCTTACCTTGGTGCTCTTGACTAAATCAAACTCGACCTCCTCTCCTTCGTCAACAGTGCGGCCGTACTTCTTCGGGTTCTTCTTCATGATACTGGACTGCGAAGGAAAATAGTAAACACAGCCCGGTCCAAAACAGTCTCAAAGCGTATTCCGCATGTTAGCACGGAACTATTGTGCTGGCTGATACGCGACTATTTCATAATGGTCAATGTCTAGGCCAATTTGCTTACCTTATGCATTTTTCTACATCAAATGAGTATACGCAGTTTGCAGATACGAGTGCTAAAATTGCATACTCAAGGTGAGGTGGTTGGCATGTCTTAACTGGTCGGCTGGCCGTACCAATGATCTCAGCTACATATTACATACAGGTATACCACCACAGCCAGGCAGAACAAGATAGAAACTGCACTTACACCATGCAAGAACACATCCTCCTCTTGCAGTGCGACGTCCTGCTCATCCTCAGAGTTTTCTGCCCGGCTGTACAGGACACGGACACGAGTGGACAGAACGCTACCACCAATAATGCCAGATGGGAAGCAATAGACGTACATGCACAATGTAAGGTCATAGATGGTACAAAAAAGTGAAGGCCTACAAGCACAAGGTCACTCAGGTAGGCCAGAGGGCAGATGATCAGAGGAAAAAGGAATTTGTACACTGTGCATTCCGACGAGTCAACTCGCGGCTGCTGCATTGAAGTCAATGGCGGCACGTGAAATGTGAGTGGGTGGCCTCTTTACGACAATGGATAGAGGCGGCAGCCGGCAGGTGTTTAGTGTATGACCACGAGTGCATAACTGGGGGGGGGGGGGGTTATGTACTCTTGGTATGACCGGGTCATGCTCTGGGACGCGTGTACAGTGACAACGCTGCTACAGCAGGTCTACCCTCGTTAATACGCCTGGAAGACGTACATGTACATTCACGCGCGGATAGTAGAATAATACTCGTTATCAAAAGTGAAGAAGAGGTTGGAGCGACTTTTGGGGAAGTGTGTGTTGCTCCCTACATGGGAGCTCGCAGTTTTCCTGCCGACTAAAAGCGCACAAGAAAAACAATTCCCCCCCCCCCTCCCCCCTCGGGGGGGGGGGTGTGGGGGGGGGGGGGGTTATCTACTAACGCAGGTACTAGGTAGACCTTCGACGGTACTTACTGGGTTATCTTGATGAAGCCAAAGTTGCGCTTGCAGTTGAACCACTTCACAGTCCCAATCGATTTTCCTTCTGCAGCAGCAGCAGAGGAAGGGGGAAGAGGGAGAGAAAGAAATAAGTCGGCACGTAGAGGTAGAGTTACGGGTAGTCGACGCAGACATGCAGAGTTACGCAGGATAGCAAACATTGTAGAGTTACGCAGGATAGCAAAGGACCTCGTGCCCAATTAGTTGGCTCTTTTCGGCAAACCAGCCACACACCACGACCTGGCACTATACTAGTGCACTGTTCGGGTGCACGACAAAAGTATTAGCCTAGATATACGACAACCGGCCGGGTAAAAAAAGCATTTCTGGACTTCGGAAGGCATCCTTTCTTTCAAGCAACAAGCAGTCTGAAAGCGGAGCGTTACGAATAGGAAGCACACAATGTGCTGCTGCCCTGGCCTGGGCAAGGCAGGGTTCCTTACCTGTGGGTTGCAAGGGAACGGGCGCCTCCTCAGGGTTCTCAGGTTTCTCTGGCGCTTCGCGATCTCCGTTCAGTGCCGGAGTAGGATGTCCGTTGGGAAGGTCAGGATAAGTGACGTCTTGACGTGGCTCTGCTAGTGGCTCGGGTGCCAACTGCTGAGGTTGTTGGTCGGTCATTTTCGCTATAACAGGCGAGCGAGCGACAGTCGGTCGTGGCGAGTTCGAAATTATTTGCAGCGGCGTCTGGGAGAGTTCCGCAGCAACGCTGGAATCTATGCTGGCAGCTCCGAGTTCCGTCTCGGCCTGCTCGGCGAGACAGGAAGGGTCTTCGAACGACCGAGGTGGGTCAACAGGTGTTGACGGGGAATTGGCAGCAGCCGACAGAACTTCGCGCCGAGCCGCTGCTGGCGAATAATTTTGCGAGTTGCCCGTCTTCTCTCCGAGTGTGCCAGCCGGAACCGTTGCACTGCGAAACTTCCTTGGCTGAAGGGGAATGCTTGGCCAACGCTGACACAGCACGGAAAGATGAAAGTCACCCGCTCGTACTCGAAATGAAATGCCGTCTTCGTTCCCTCGACGTTGCTGTAGCTTCTGCTTGAGGTACTTGCGCAGGCGAAAGAAATGAGATGGACTAGCTTCTTGCTTCTGCAGATTCCCTTGTTATAGGCGGAGAGTTAGCGGCTGAACACACATGCACAGGGTGATAACGAGAGGTGAAACTTGCGCCGAGCAGCCATTGGACAACGGCCGGAGTGCATGTGCACGGGCCGTCCGTCGGTGTTCTCACATGTTTTGCGCCCAACTTCGTCCTGCGGTGGTCTCGGACAAGATTGTGTGAACGCATCGATGCACGTCGTTCTGAAACTAAACAGGGACGAAACGTAGATCTACGTCGCAATCGAGCTATGTCGTTGCTGTGTCATCATCTATGTGCCATGCGCTACTTGATGTACCAGCCTGCTATGCCGGATACCGCCAGCCATGCATCGACCAGGCGCCAGGCGCGAACTGATGGTGGTGGTGGTGGTGAGAAGGAGAGCTCTGTGCCAGAACTAGTTACTTTGCAGCCTATGGCCTAGAGAGTGTGTGTGGGCAGGCGTGTGTTTACCGCCATATTGCCAGGTGTGTCTTTACCACCATAATTATTCTATCGAGCATAGGTACAGTACTGGCAACTGAAATCCAGGGATCGGATTTCAGTTGCCAGTACTGTACTGAGTGTAGTGTAGATCTACCTAGACATGTAGATCTACATCTACCGTGCATGTACATGTAGATCAGGGAGTCGTGAAAAAGGGCTTTCAGCCGTGGCCCGTGACCATGGTGACGGCCCTGGCATACACTACAGCCATAGCTCTTCGAGCCGCTACTACCATTGACTACCCGTGTAGGTCGCAGACTTGAAAGCGGTGCTGGCCACACGCGGTCCATCGTCCCAGAGAAGAGAGTCACCATGGTCACAGGCAAAATTAAAGGGGAAGTTAAGGCAAAAATTAAAATTTCACCAGTTGTAGTCTTCGGGGTGCTGAGTCGAATGGTCTTGGTCCGAGGAAGCTGAGACGCTTCCTTCCTACTTGAATCCCAATCGAACTCGCGCACTTCCACCGAAACTGGGTGACTGCGCCCTACTAGATGGGGATTTGTATGCAAAATGTCACTAAAAGCGCCATTTCGTTCTTATAAAAGCACGGATGACCGCGATTGGCCCATATGTTGTAGTCTTTTGGACGCTGAGTCGACTGGTTTTGGTCCGAAAAGGCTGCGAAGCAGCGTTCCTCCTTTATTCCCAATCGAACATGGTCGAACAAGTGGTCACGTGCTGCTGCGTACACCAGTCAGCTGGTCACCGTGCCTGCAGGGTACAACTTACTAGCCTGTTTGACCTTTTTTGGGTGCAGTCCTGTCACTGGAGTTGAACTCGAGTTGAACCTTGGTGTGAAAGTTGTCGCCTGCTGGCGTGGTGACCAGGTGATTTGGGCACCCAGGACCACGTGACCGCTTGTTCAACCATGTTCGATTGGGAATAAAGGAGGAACGCTGCATCGCAGCCTTTTCGGACCAAAACCAGTCGACTCAGCGTCCAAAAGACTACAACATATGGGCCAATCGCGGTCATCCGTGCTTTTATAAGAACGAAATGGCGCTTTTAGTGACATTTTGCATACAAATCCCCATCTAGTAGGGCGCAGTCACCCAGTTTCGGTGGAAGTGCGCGAGTTCGATTGGGATTCAAGTAGGAAGGAAGCGTCTCAGCTTCCTCGGACCAAGACCATTCGACTCAGCACCCCGAAGACTACAACTGGTGAAATTTTAATTTTTGCCTTAACTTCCCCTTTAATGAAAACGCACGTAGATCTACGCAAGTCACCACCCTGCGCTGTTCTGTAGATCTTCTGGCTGTGCGGACTCCGCTACTCAAGTCGAGTAGCGGAGTCCGCACAACCAGAAGATCTACAGAACAGCGCAGTGGTGGTGACTTGCGTAGATCTACGTGCGTTTTCATTAAAGGGGAAGTTAAGGCAAAAATTAAAATTTCACCAGTTGTAGTCTTCGGGGTGCTGAGTCGAATGGTCTTGGTCCGAGGAAGCTGAGACGCTCCCTTCCTACTTGAATCCCAATCGAACTCGCGCACTTCCACCGAAACTGGGTGACTGCGCCCTACTAGATGGGGATTTGTATGCAAAATGTCACTAAAAGTAGTCCTAGGGCCCATTTGAAATTTCTCACTTTTACTTGACACATGTTTGCTAACATGGATTTTATGATCATTCCTGGATGGTTTTTGCCTCCTGAACACGATGGCATAGGTTTCGATTGCCGAATTGTGTCCGAACATGGTGAAAAACATCAAAATAGAAAAGGCCGTTATTACCATGGCAACCTAACTAGAATTGCTCCTATATCCATTTTTACCGACATGTATATGGCCAAGTAGCACCTCATTTTGCTCAGAATGAGCAGTAGATACAGTACGGCGACAAGTACTGTACCTTTACAGTATCAAAACAAAATTTACAAAGTGCAGTGAAACTTGGCTATTGGACATGTACATGTACATTACATGTCGCGTCGAATGTTAGCATTGAGGTACGTGTACATGTATGTGCAGCTAGCAAGTAGATGAGACTATTTACAGGCATGCATTACTATAATTATCAGACTGCAAACACGAGAGAAGCGTCAGATGGTTCGGCGTTACACTTCAACTGGGAGAATAGGTATTGTAACCCAAGTACTGACAGGAGAAGGAAAAGGTGGTAGGAAACTGTCAGAGTCTAAGGAACGAAGTGCTATAGCCTATAGGACAGTTTCAACCTGAACTAATTTACTCGAAGTACGTGTAGATAATACGATAGATCTCGCAGCAATGTAAGAAGGACAACATTAGTCTTTACTTATAATGCAATGGCAGTGCTGTAACGAAAAAATGATGAAAATGAAAATACCAAAATCCTTTGCATATTAGTAGATAAACAGTCCAAACATTGGCTAGCTTGTCACTATACTTAAATGCTTTGAAAATACCTCAGGGCTGCAGTTGGACAACACTCACATGTGAATAGCTGCAGTTTAAAAAGCTGATCGATCCCAACATTGTGATGCGAATACTTTCGCTTCCATGTGTTTCACTTTAACTGAAGTTGTTCTTCCGTCTGAGCTTTGGAAACTATACGCCGTACGGCTGAGCCCATCTCTACTCCGCCGCCTACACCATCAATGTTTGCTCTGCAGTCAAGGACAATTCTTTAGCCACTATTACATGAGGTATTATATAAACATGTTTTCCCTTTTCACCGCCGCTCTTGAATCGCATCAACTACGTGCCGTGATCAGTTCAGGAGAGACAAGCCATGACATTGGACATCGGACTCTTTCTTGCAGTTAGTGTTTTATAAGTATAACTGCAGTTTCACACTGCCTAGGCCCAGCCATCAAAATCTGTGACAAGGAAATGATTCTTCTTCTGCTGGTGTTGCATATTGTGATAGGTTACCTCCAGGTACTCGGATTTCGTTTTTGTAACACTCCACACCACATAGCTACTCCCTCTCACTGTAGCATGCCACTCCTAAGGCAGTTGTCCTAGAGCTGTTCAGCTGGTAAATAGGCTTTGTGCAAATGGTAGCTGATCACCACGGTCGGTGTGTTCAAATCATGGTACTAACACTAGCCGCTCTTGTAGATTCGAATGAAATGCTCGTCCACTGTAACACCTCCTGTGCAGCAGTACTCACAAAGTAAATGCCTTCATTCCAGCCCGATGAAGTTAGCCAGGTCTGAAACTTTCCACGGTTGTAGATTAGTCCTATGAATAGTTACAACTGGCTTGGCAAGCTATAATGACCTTTCCCCTGCTTTCCACACATAATTGTGCTGCTCTTTGTTGGAATCATGCCTACTTTTCCGGGGAGCCAAGATGACATTGTAATGAAGGTTCTGCTGAATTTAGCATCGATCCATTCGTGGACGTTCCGACAGCAAAAGCGCCAGCGAGTCAATGCAAAACTTTGAAGAAAGTGTCCAAACGAGTAGGTACCCTATTTCTGGTATGTCACAACTGCACTACTTGATGCTCAATCTTTCGAACTCTCGCACAAAATCAGTGTACGCCTCGGTTCGCATCCTGTGTATGTACGGTGTTACTATAGCTCCTGGCACATAAAAGGGTAAAAACTCCCAGGTCCAGTCAATATAGTACCGAGAAAGTCTTGAAAATGCTTGAATATAGCCGATGAGAACTTAGTTTTTTCGGCAATTTTGTATTCCTATCGAGGGTGATTTCGGGACCTTTGGACGCGATTGGACACACCATACTGGGCCAAGATGCTCTTGAAGACATTATCTATCAAATAACACCGAAAAATCCTTGTTAGCCAACATGTGTCAAGGCATGTATTTTAGAGGTCGATTTTTTGAATTGGCCCCAGTACTAAAGCGCCATTTCGTTCTTATAAAAGCACGGATGACCGCGATTGGCCCATATGTTGTATTCTTTTGGACGCTGAGTCGACTGGTTTTGGTCCGAAAAGGCTGCGATGCAGCGTTCCTCCTTTGTTCCCAATCGAACATAGCTGAACAAGCGGTCACGTGGTCCTGGGTGCCCAAATCACCTGGTCACCACGCCAGCAGGCGACAAATTTCACACCAAGGTTCAACTCGAGTTCAACTCGAGTGACAGGACTGCACCCAAAAAAGGTCAAACAGGCTAGTAAGTTGTACCCTGCAGGCACGGTGACCAGGTGACTGGCGTACGCAGGAGCACGTGACCGCTTGTTCAACCATGTTCGATTGGGAATAAAGGAGGAACGCTGCATCGCAGCCTTTTCGGACCAAAACCAATCGACTCAGCGTCCAAAAGAGTACAACATATGGGCCAATCGCGGTCATCCATGCTTTTATAAGAATGAAATGGCGCTTTTAGTGACATTTTGCATACAAATCCCCATCTCGTAGGGCGCAGTCACCCAGTTTCGGTGGAAGTGCGCGAGTTCGATTGGGATTCAAGTAGGAAGGGAGCGTCTCAGCTTCCTCGGACCACGACCATTCGACTCAGCACCCCGAAGACTACAACTGGTGAAATTTTAATTTTTGCCTTAACTTCCCCTTTAATTATTTTGCCTGTCGATGCAAAGCAAACAAGTAAACAGTTCGTCTCACGAGTTCGCAGACATGATTCTCAAGGCACTCATCGATCAACAGTGAGATTGGCTGTATGCATAATCAGCCCTGAATCTGACTGAGTACGAGGTCAATATTAGATTTATCACGACAAACAGTCCGTATTTCAAATTCCAGAACGATAACCTCATGAATCCCGGTTTTATGATTGCACAACCGTTGCACCACCAGTCACCACCTACTCATGCAGTGACAATGCTATGCAGGAATATTTGACTGCGTAGGTATGGCAAAAATCTATGTGAGTCAATACTAAGGGAGTGATAATGCATAATAACAAGAGTAGATAAACAAGAGTGTGCAACTCGCGGATGGGTTGGCCCACGGCGGGATTTTTTGTTGACGTAATCTTTTCGACGACGCACGCGCTGCGAGCCTTTTGGAGAGGTTTCCCTCGTGCACTTAGCGGGGCTTTACACTACAAGGTCGGTGCCCAGCACGTTCTCTCACACTGCTCTGCGGCAAAGTCCGCGTTTCCCTGAAAAGAAGGTGACGTCAACAAAAAATTCCGCCGTGGGCGGGGGTATCTGCTAGGGGTGAAACAATTATACCGAATACTCGAGTACTCGCTCGGTTTTTTCAAAAATAATCGTACTCGGAATAAATCAGAGTACTCGTTCATACATGTACATGGTACATGCATTTACCATAGAAATCTACAGTTTTAGGGCAGCAGTCGGCAGATATTGATGTGCAGACTGTGTGGTGAACGTTTGACCACGAGCAGAGAGAGCCAAAATGACCCACCAACCAATATGCCCGAGAAAAATGACTGCTACTCGGTTCAATCAGGGTCGTATCATGTGATTTTAAGGCCCTTAGTGTGCACTTTTTAGGAGGTGAAGAATACTCGAATACTCGAATATTCGATCGGAGAAAATCAGAGTACTCGAACTCGGGATCTCATTGCCAACTTTCACCCCTAGTATCTGCAGATTGTGCAGAAGAGATCCGGAGTTGCACACTCTTGTTTATGTACTCTTGATAATAATTGTACAAAGGTCAAAAAGAATGGTTTCACCAATTATAGAAACATACGTTGTAAGTTGTAACGCTGCGTTTCATGCACGTAGCTATTTGCTAAGGCAATCATCAGACAACTAATGCTTTTGTCGCGGGATAGCTTGTTCTTATTGTGGGGGATACGCATGGGCATGTAGAGGAGGTGTGAGCTATCAATGCAGGGCATGCATGGAAAGAGCGAGTGATAATAATTACATCACTGGATGGGCATGCGCAGTAGGCGCGAACTATGCATGAAGCGTGCAGAGGCGGAGAAACCACCAGGCAGGACAAGGGTAAGCCATGCTGGCACTGGGCAGAGGGTGTGATGTGTGGCGGTGGAAGCACACTGTGGTGTCCACATTCAACAGCCGCGGGCGGTGATAGTGGTAGCACGCGGTGGCTATGTCACCATGGTCACGGCAGAGTAGGTGGAGAGGTAGAACTTGTTTTGGGTACATAATAGTGAGGTTTTGCATTCCGAAATTCGGCAAAAAGATTCGGCACGCGGGAGCGAGGTCGAAAATGCACACGAAGATTCGGAGTGTTTGTTCGGAAAAAGCTCACTTTGCCGAAAATATTTTTCGGATGCATTTTCTTGTAGAAGAGCGCTAGCGCGTGATTTATTCAAAGAGGTTTCTTATCTCGGCATCGCTTGGCAGGCGTCTTTGGCGACATAGCATCGTCAGCTACCTCGGATTGCTCCTCTCCACTGCCTGTCGACTCTCTTTCACCTGGAGTGTCCTCACCGTCATCTGTGTGGCTGAAAAGACTATGGCGACACGCATATAATTTGACTTGGCCATGGAGTTGGTTTTTCTGAGGCGACTGAGGAGGCAGGTTTGGCCCTCGACTCTTTGGGCGATCAAAGTTCGTTGGAATCAGCAAGAAAAGGAGCACGGGACAGGACGTTGCTGATGCTGGGGCTCACGAAATGAAAACACATCATTTTCGACTTGCAAAACAAACGTTGGTGCGAAAATTCGACATTTTGATGTTCGACAAATGACCGAAGAACGCTGTACCGAAATTCGGAATGCAAAACCTCACTAATAATTGTATGTTTGTTTCACAAAACTTTTCCTTTCGTGCGATGTTGCCTTACAATTTTACATCCCGGGTACCAGGTAGCATGTTACTTGTTAGCTCTGTGACAGCGGTTTACATGTCCTTCTAAATTATGTCACAGTGCTATTACACAATGCAACATGATTGTGATCTGGAAAACAACGCATGAGCGTGATACTACTAATACTATGTAGGTCGACTCTTCGAGTACGAGTACTAACAGTAACAAGCAACATGCTTGCCCTCCTTCTCTGATCCCACTACATGTACTAGGCATGCCCGCTTTCCACTTGCATTTCGTCTCGATCTCGACTGAAGATCGTATCATGCTTTCTCTGGAACACACACAAGATTATGGTCGATACTATACTGACTCAAAAGCAACAACAACAACAAGGCCATTGTGAGAATAAAGATTTCAAACAACAACAACAAGACCATCATGAGAATAAAGATTTCAAACAACAACAACAACCACAACCACAACAACAACCATCGTGAGAATAAAGATTTGAAACAGAAACGTATGGATTAGCAACCAACATCGGCAAGGTTTATGGCTGCAATACTAGCACACCAGCAAACAAGACCAATCTTGCTAGTATTATGGCTGAATGCAAGAACGAGTCGGGCGAGGGCCGAGGGGAGCGTCGGCTACACGCACTTCTGTGCTAATCGGAACGAGTCGGGCGAGGGGTGCGTCGGCCATAGTGCTTGCGAATTGACTGACGGCTGGGCTGAAGAGCCAAGCGGGCGATGACAATCTTGTGATCGGACTTCACGGTCATTCCGCCGTAACTCCGTGCGTTTGTGAACAGCTGTGCCTGCGATTTGCGGCAAACGACGTAGTCCCGTTGGGAATATGCGGGAACGGTTTTCCCGGTCCTTGCGTCCCGCCGTTTACCAGTCCAAGTTGTCTTGTGCCTGGCTGGATGGCGAAACGCGGTGTTTGCAAGGAAAAGGTCTTTGGCTTCACAAAAGGCAACCAACGCCTCCCCGCTATCGTTACGCATACCGCGTCCGGGGTGACGCCCGATGCACTCCTCTCCGAACTGTTTGGCTCCACATTTGCCATTGAAATCTCCGACGATGAGCAGTAAGGGAGACTCGGATATGTCCACTGCTCCAGACAGGGTGTTGTAGAACGCAGTAGTGACCGGACATCCGGGCGACGACGACGACGGTGCGCAAACATTGAATATGGTCATGTTCGACCCGTTGTCCAAGTGCAGGGATATTGCGATCGCCCTGTCCGATAGACCCCAAACCTGGTCAACTCTCGTCGCCAAGTCCCTGGAGACGATGAAGGCCAGGCCACAGCCGCGTGGATATGGGTGTGAAGGCATATAGAGGCGAAAGCCGTCGAGATCCTCCAGCAGATGTCGTCGACGAATTCCTGTTTCCTGCAGCGCGCAGATATTCACTTTGTACTTCAAAAAGTCCTGGCACAAAGTGTCCCTTGTCGCTTTAGTTGTTAGGCAGTTTCTTGCACTGAACGTAGCAATGGTGAAACAGCTACCATCCTGGTAAAAGACTGCACCGGGAAAAGGGTTCGTCGGCACACCAGAGGCTGAAGAGTCGTCCTCGACATTGGCCACAGCCATCACAAGTCGATAGGTCACACAGGAAACGTCAGTGAGTAGCTGCTGTGCTAACGTCCCTTCGATCAGACTCACAGAGATGGCAGTATGACCACCGGCATGCAGGTCTACCACAGAGCCGTATGTGTCTACGTATAAGGCTTCCTGGTATGTACTGACTGTACTAGTAGTAGTACTAGTACAGTAGTGCCTCATTTTATAAGGGATGTGGGCTGACATTCTTACACACTATTATTTCTAAAAAGTGTTGAAATGTCAGAAACATAAAATCATGATACTTTCTCAGCTCTACGCGCCTTCGGTGAGAGCGACTTCTCTAAAAGTGCTGGCCAGAGAAATTCAACCTTGTGCATAAAGTAGCGCCGCGTCCGAGTGCGCAGACCAGTGTTTGTAGTGCTAGGGCTGCGTAGCGCCTTTCGCTACTTTATTCATGAGGTTGGATTTCTTTGCCCAGTACTGTACTACATTGTACTTAAAGTCTTTGTAGTAGTGGAGTTCTACTGTCTGCACTCTGCAGATTGAGTAGCATTTTCCACCAGCATGCACACATGATACAGTTCATCGAGCCATAACCTTTTTGCGGGTTAGCCCAAAGAGCCCCCCCCCCGAAGCATAACATATTTGAGAAGACACCATGCAATTGTTGTGCCGAAGTCATATTCCAGCACACTGGACATACGACAGATAACTGACTAGACACTGTAACCATGGTAACCGAATGCACACCGACAGATAACTGGGAACACAGTATTGTACTCAATAGCACTCAGTGCTGAAACAAAACAAATGCGAGACGGTATGCGACTCATGTCATGACTCATGTACACTCGCAGCTTGCCGGACGGATTTGCGTACACAAAGTACTGTGTTGCCGTGGCTGCTGTATGACGGCACCACGCATGATCACCTGGTCACGTGGTACACACGGACATTGTGCTCCCATGCACCCCCCCCCCCCACACACACACATGTATGCATGCACGTGGACACACAACAACAACAATCTCTTATTGGCGATGGTGCCATCGTGAAAATAAAGAATTCAAACAAAACAAAAAAACAACAACAACGACGACGACGACGACGACGACAACAACAACATTAACATCCTTGAAATTGCTTTTTGATGTTACTTCACCTCAGTAAATTGGGAGCTATTCGCATCAGATGCACTGTATTCATTCAGACCAGAGAATGTATGTCACGGACTCAAGCCTGGCAGTGTACAAAGGCGACCAGATTGCTACAGAAAACTATTTTTAAAAAAAGAAAGAAAAGATAGAACATCTTTCCCTCGGACCAACGAAAATAGAGCATAATTAGTGATGCCGGGTGAGAAACAGAACTGATCATCAAGTTCATCATATTGGCTACACACAGTCATTCATATCTGCTTCGAGCATAACAACTTCGCTCCAATTTTAAGAGAAAAAAATATAATAAACTAAAAGACACGAGGCTGCCTTCGAGGCAGCGTTACTTTGTAAAATAGGACACCAGCGGTGAATGTGTGTTAATACTGTATCACGGAAAATATTCTTTATTCTCTGACTTCAGCTCCTCTTCATACCGAGCCGAACGTTTTGGAGCACCTAGACTAGTAGGATATCAAGTGAACTGAAAATTTGAACGTATTTCGAGTTTGAAAGAAATGCCCTGCCAAGTACAGATACTCGTCACGCTCATTCGCACGTCGACATCGCTGCCAGCACAAGCAACTATCGCCCCCCTACCCATCAATGAAAGAATGAAGGCGGGAGGTGCGCGACGGGAAATCCCGGTCAGAAACCCATACATGTACTCTATTGTGGTACTCTGCGCAGGTCAGACTGTAACAGACTCTAAATGAATGTGTCAAGATGCTATGCTCTTGCTGGCTCTTACCCTGAAGAGTGGAGTGTGTGGCCTCAAGGCCGGTGAGTAACTACAGGACTCAGCTAGTATGGTAATTAAGCGGACGAGCTAGAAGGGACGCACACGTTTACACTTACGGCAAACCGTGAGCAGGGCTCTACTTCAGCTTCTGCTCCATTTCGGCGCACTGCGACTGCAAGCGCTGGCACAGCTTGTACAGCTCCGTGGTGCGATCGCGCTCGTTCTCCTGCGGCCGCATGCGCGGATTCCAGCGTGCGTAGTAGGCCACCCAGAGCTGCAGGCGGCGGATGGACACGATCGGGCACAGCACATGGTTGTGCAGGTACTCGGAGAACAGCGGGTTGACGAACTCGTCACGGTGCTCAGCAATGAACGCCCACAGGGACTTGGTCGCATCCTTGACTGCTTTCCTTTCTCGCTCCGTATTGCACAGGAACGTGCCGAAGAGACACGAATATAGATGGTCCAGTATGGCCAGGAGAAACGCCTCGTTGAACTCAAAGGCGCAGGGGAACTGCCGAGTCACCTGCCAGACGGCATCAATAAACTGGACAAAGATGGGTGCACGCTGCTCGTCGGCGCAATGCTTGTCACCTTGGCCTACCCTCTGCTGGAACTTGTGTCCAAACGCCAGCCACTCCTTCTCGACCAGCACGGCAAAGCCGCGGATGGTCCGGTAGTACGGGTCCATCAGCATCATGGCGAGCGAGCAGACCTGAGAGGTACGGTCCCAGCCGTCGGAGCAATGCACTACGACTGACACTCGGCAGCGGTCCATCAGATCCACCACGCGATTGGCGGCGGCCAACACTAGCTTGACATGGTCCAGCCAGTGCGTGTTCTCCAGGTTAGACATCCAGTGGGCGTCGTCGATCGTCGGAAAGCACATCTCGCGCAGCTTGCGCAGGCTCTCTCGCATCACGTGGATGTTGCCAATGTCCAGAAAGAGAAGCTCCATGTGCGTGTAATGCTCCTCGTCCTCGTAGCCACCACCCATGGCTTTGTTGGCGATGGCGTTCAGCTTGGGGCGCGCGTCCATGATGACCAGCTTCTGCGAGTTTGGATTCGACTTTGAGATCTCCTCCAGATAGGCTTCGTCGTCGCGACTGTGCTTGCCCAGCTTGCCTACGAGCGGCTGAGAGCCGCGCGTCAAGCTCGAGTGGTTCTCCGGATGCAGCCAGGACAGGACGGGGATGCGGGCGCGGCTTCGGAACGACGCCACCGCCTCCAGCTGCACGTCCGTCACCGCCGCCGGCACTGTCAGCACAGCCGGGTACGTCGGGCAGAACTGATACTCCTCGTTGATTGACGACAGGCGCCAGCCTTCGTTGGGCACGCCGATCCGGCGTAGCTCCTTGATCATGCTAAAGATTCCCCAGCCGTGCTCGGCATCATGCTTAGTCAGCGACCCCTTCGAATAATGATTGAAGGCGAATATCTGCCCTCCCGAGCTGAGCGGGAACGCCAGCTTCTGCAGCAGGTCGTAAATCGTTCGCCTGGTTCGGCCCTCCTGGCGAAATGCCATGCGAAACGTGCGGATGTCCTTGAACTGCATTTCCAGCCCGTAGGAGTGCTCGCCACGGCTGGACGCTCCGCCAACCTTCTCTACGGAATGGATTGCACCCAGAGGCGCAACGTAGACTGCCCTCGGCTCGCCCTCACTCGATACAAACATGATCTTGTAGGTTGTGACGAACAACGTACCAGCCAGCGGTCCATTGAAGGGGCAAAGGAAAACGACGTTAGGGGCAGTCTCCTCGATTGTTTCGCCCGCTAGTAGGCGTCCACATGGCTCAGTCGTTGGCTTCTCGCCAGAGCTAGTTTTGGCCAAAGGAGATGTTTGCTTCGTCTTCCCACTCGACATTGCGCTGGATACTGCACAAATTCGGTGACGCGCTCACACGCACCGGACTGTCCAAACTGTAGGTGCTAATGAACTAGACTTTACAATATCAGGCGCATCATTGTTCCTTCCTCTTGCCCTACTACTAGTATCTCTCCTACTCGATCACCAGCTAGCTTGTGGGGTGCACGAGGCTAGCTCCTTCGATCCCGGCTGCCGGAGAAGGCTACAACAACGTCGTGTACATCTACAGACTACACCAAGTAAATACAATCAGGTTTGCTGTGTTTCTTCGTCGCGTGCACGGATATGGAGTTTTTTGTTTGTTTGTTTCGCACTTGTCTTTGCATGCACTTGGCCACCATGCATGCACAGACTCAGTGAGTACAAGTCATGCACAATCATTTTTGTAGTGATGACCGATGTGGATCTACACATAACATAACAGGACTGACAAGTGAGGGTCAGCAGACTTCAGAAGAGTCAGAGCTAGCCTAGACTGTACTAGTCTAGAGCCTCAGTAGAGGTAGTATCGCAGAGGAGAGCGAGCACTGCAACAAAGCCTGGGAGGCGTCGTAAGGCGGCGGTGCCGACAGAGCCAAGCATCTTCGTAGACCATGATATACGTCGACTGCCCCATTAGGCATGACTATTGCCTGATGACTATTGGGGAGTATTGCCAGTATTGGCATTTTAGCAGTACATTAGCACTGGCCGGTATGGCAAGTGCTACAGTCAGTGCCGGTTACCGTTTGAAGTGCCTGCGCCAGTGCCACCAACACTGAGAAAGTGAAAACCAGGGAGTCGTATACGAGACTCCCTGGTGAAAACTATGCCCCAAAATAGCGAAAACAGGAATGCAACGCAATAATACATTTTCACAAGCTACAGGCACTTTGCACATAGTTGTTGCACTTGTCCTTCCTTGGAACAATGCAGACAACCAACAACACAATCCTGACTGCATGCAGAGAAGGAATGAACGCCAAGCATAGCACTGTTATCAAGAGTCCATCATAAGTAACTGTTGGCATAACCCCAGGGGGGGGGGTATGGACTCTTGCTGTTATGATAGTAACAAGAGTACATAATGGACTTTTGATACATTGTACACACCAACAGAATACATCCAGGCAGTAGGGAGTACATAATACCAAGTATGTACTCTTGATAATACTACATATGTAGTGCCAACTGGTAATCTACAGTCATGACATTGTATCAAGTAGTTGCACTGGCTTTCACTAATCTAAATCCACCTGTTCACCCTTCCTACAGGGCTGTGAGTTTGTTAGTATCAGTACAGTCTGTACTGTCTTATTCCTTCATATTTACAAACATACTTCAAAATAATGACATTTCATTTCTGAAGCCCATGGCTATATAACTGAGACTGGCTTTATAATCAAAACAATTATACCACCATGGCTGCGGACATACGGTAGCGCCAAGAGTGTGCAACTCCTGATGTTCGAGCTATGGGCTATGCGCTGCCTGCACTACGTAGTGAAATGACGATCCAACTGCCAGGATTTGAGTTTTCCTACTGGTTAGCCTCAACGATTTCATGTGCAATACGGTAAGTTCACCTGGATTTGAGTTTTCCTACTGGTTAGCCTCAACGATTTCATGTGCAATACGTTAAGTTCACCTGGATTTGAGTTTTCCTACTGTTTAGCCTCAGCGATTTCATGTGCAATACGTTAAGTTCACCTGGATTTGAGTTTTCCTACTGTTTAGCCTCAACGATTTCATGTGCAATACGGCAAGGTCAAAGGCAATGCCTGTGTGTGACGCATCACGTACAAAGCTATACAAAGTCTCCGGGGAAAGCGGATTTGGAAGCAGGAAAACCGTAGCAGTTCAATAATGACGCAGTGGCCCACAGTTCGTGGCTACGTAATGCAGACAGCCCGTCGTGCCAGATCCCATATGCAGAGTCCGGGCGATCCGTCCAAGTTTGCAAGAAGAAACAAATAACATTTCTTCAACCAGGCCGGCCACGCATACAGAAGAAGTCCTTCTGTGTATAACCACGAGTAGTACATAACACCATGAGTATGCCACTCTGTGTATAGGCCTAATAATAGGGTCCGGCGCGGCGTGCTGCCCACATACGTAGCCACGAATTGGGGAATCAGCTGGGGCATTGCGTCAAAATTGATCTACTGATATGGTGTCAAGTGACAGTGACTGAGTTTGGTGTGAATGTAGGACTTGATTGGTGCTAGTGAGGATGGTGTGAAGCATGCCAGAGTTATAGCGCAAGTAACGTTAATGCACACTGTAGCTGATAGTGCTGCCACCTCACAGTGGCATACATGTGCATGCATACACAACTGCTAATAAATGATCAGCAACAGTGCCAGCATGAAGGCGACACTATACATGTAGCTATCACTAGCACCAATCAAGTCCTACATTCACACCAAACTCAGTCACTGTCACCAGACAGCCCGTCGTGCCAGATCCCATATGCAGAGTCCGGGCGATCCGTCCAAGTTTGCAAGAAGAAACAAATGGTCACTCAGTGACACCATATCACTACAGTTTCCAGCTTGCAAGTGCGGTTTTCTCTCAGAATTCTGGTATTTTTGTACGTGATGCGTCACGCGAGGGGATTGCTTTTGAACCACCCGTGATATGCATGAAGTCGCTGCACCTCAACCGTAGCCTGGAGAACTCAAACCCAGTCAGCTTGATTGTCATTTCACTACGTAACGAAGGCAGTGAACCTCGTAGGGCACCCATAGCTCAGAGATCAGCCTTGCACACTCTTGGGGCTATGCACCCTTGGTAATACGGGTAACCCAGGTCAATACACGGGCCAGCAAGCATCAAGAGATGGCTCTGGAGATTACACATTCCGAGCTTAGCCCGCCCTGGAGCACGAGGCGACGAAGTGACGAAAGGTAATTCTCAGAATATATTCATTTACCGCTTCGTATTTATACAACTCTATTAAACTTAGCATGCACAAGAAACTCGCATTATTAGACTTACACATACTACAGGAACAAAAGTTGAAAAATCTTGAAAATTTGCATGAAAACGTACTGAAGTGAGCAGAACTGCATAATGGTGCAGCGATGTCTAGTTTAATGCTGCCTGTGTCGGTTGGTGACAAGAGCAGGTACAGGTAGGCCTCCGGTTTACTTTGCGAAGACTTCGGCCATGCGGTTGAGGGCGCTGCCAGCGCGGAACCATTCGATTTGCGCCTCGTTGAACGTGTGGTTGAGCGGGAAGGATTCGCTGGAGCCGTCAGCGTGTGCGAGGACGCATGTGAGAGGCTGAGAGAAAAAAGAAAAGGGAGCGCAGAGAAGCAGTGGTGATGGTGAGCTGGAATGGTGTATGATTATTGCAGACACACACACACGCACACTGGCCAACCTACACAGACAGAGTATGCTGGCTAGAAACGCAGCAACAGCAGGAAGGAGCGTAGCCGTGGACAACAGAATCCCCCCCCCCCCCCCACTGCACGGAGGTGTTTCCTGTACACTACACGGAATATGAATCAGGCTTTACAAATAATTCAACGCACTTGAAGCAGAAGATGACGTAAAGACTAATCTCTGGTCAAACAAATTGATTGAGTCGGCTGTAAAGCAAGAACTACCCTGTCTCAACACACGCACACACAGCACATACATCCTAGCTGTTAATACACACAAAAGATGACTGCTCACCTTGCCAGGCGCAAACTCAGGGAGGCCACGGATGGCAACACGATCGCTTGGCTGAATCTTATCGTAATCAGCTGGGTTGGCAAAGGTAAGCGCAAGCATACCCTGCTTCTTCAGGTTGGTCTCTGCAACAGGACACACACACACACACACACATGGGGCAGATGTCAGTCACTCCAACTCAATCTTGCCACAGACGCGGACACACACACACACACACACACACACACACACACGGATGAGCATATCATCCTCAACTGGTAGCACACATACCGGTGTGTACATTGTGCATAAATCTCCAGAGCAAGCAGCACAAAGACTTGTCAGGGTTCACGCATGAACAGATGTGTGTCGTGGAGATTTCCAAAGAGCAACAGAAACATCCACTTCAGTGCATCTTAACAGTGCGTGTAGGATTGCGTTCACACAGTGCAAAGACCCAGCACATTGGTCGCAAAAAAACTATCTGAGCAATGGTGCAGCCTGCCTATACTGATCAGGAGAAACTCTGGACCTGTACGACCTAGCATCGGCAAATCAGATGCCCGGCGCATGGCAATCGAAGCGAGACAGAGAGGGCATGGATAGCTCGACAAAGTCGCATTGAAGAACTCACCGTGAATGCGGGCGAATGATTTGACAATGATGGCACGTCCACCGAGGTGGCGTGGCTCCAAGGCGGCATGCTCTCGGCTGCTTCCCTCACCATAGTTCTCGTCACCGATCGCAATCCAGTTCTGACCATTGGCCTAATGGTGCACACAGACACAACACACAGAGTGTTTGGTACAGTAGCAATATTTTCTTTATCACTCAATAATTCTCACAGCACAGCATGTACAGTTCTCAACAGTTCATTGTCAGAGTTAGGGGCTCAACAGTTCATTGTCAAAGTTAGGGGCTCAACTGTTCATTGTCAGAGTAAGGGGTTCAACTGTTCATTGTCAGAGTTAGGGGCTCAACAGTACATTGTCAAAGTTAGGGGCTCAACTGTTCATTGTCAGAGTTAGGGGCTCAACTGTTCATTGTCAGAGTTAGGGGCTCAACTGTTCATTGTCAGAGTTAGGGGCTCAACTGTTCATCGTTCAACAGTACATTGTCAGAGTTAGGGGCTCACCAGTTCAATATCGGGTACACTAATGCACTGTCCCAATCGTAACCTACCTTGTAGTGGCGAGCAGTGTCGGGAACGGTGCCAAAGCCGTCCGTCAGCTGGTTGCGCACGGAGTTGGGCTGCTCGTTCTCGGAGTTGACGGCGGCGATCAGCAGGTTGTTGGAGATGTTGTCCAGATGGCCGCGGTACTTCAGCCAGGGACCGGCAGCGCTGATATGGTCGGTTGTACACTTGCCCTTGACCTGAAATCACATGGAGCGAAAAAAGAAAAAGAAAAAAGAAGACAAAACGCGTGTGCTTAGTTGAGAAATAAATCGACTCGTTGCCCAGAGGACCTGAATTCACAGTACAGTCATATCTCGCTTACACGGGTGCACTGACCATAACTTTGAAATGTTTGTAAGAATCGTAACTCTCAATCATATATGTTTCAATAGGGAAGGGCCAGAGATCTGGCATATGACGTCATTATGTCCACAAAAAAATGCCAGTACACGTACCGGTAGTTATCATGTCGGCATCAGTTGAGTTGTATTATTTTATAGATAGGAAGAGTAGTCATATTTCCACTAAAACTCAGCCACAGGGTGCCCGTAACTTGGAGGTCTGGATAAGAGATATGAGTGCACATGTAACAGCATGTCATGCTATAGGATAGTGTGCAGTGCATCCACACAGTGAGAACACCAGTAGCCCCCCCCCCCCCCCCCCCCTTTGTGCACTGGATCATGGGACCATGGGATATCTGGGCCAGGGTGGGGTAAGCTGGGTTTGCTCCAGTCAAACAGAGGCACACCTAGTTTCACTCCTTAGTCAGCCCCTCCAGCCAAAAAGAGGCACATAGTTTCACTCCTCAGTTAGACCCTCCTACATGCAGCGAGCACCTCCCACCTACAGTGGCTACACGCCACACACCTTGATCAGGATGACCATGTCCTCGAGGTCCTTGCCGTTCCAGCGGTCGAAGGGGTTCAGCAGCTGCAGGCGATCGCTGGCCGGGTCCACGTCCACTCTCAGACTCTCGCCGCTGGCTGGTGGTGCCTCATATGTGTCCTCACCGCGGTCAAAGCCTCTCTCTGGCAGCTCATCACCGTATGGGCTGTCCAGCTTGAACTGGGAGCCTGGTACAAAGAAAAAAAAGAGACCCAAACCAAAGGAAAGTATTAACCAGGTTGCACACTATGCATTAATGACGTCACAAAAACTGCACAGGAGATAGCCAGCATACAAACAAGTACTGAAATGCTGTCTACTATTGCATATGCATGAATCTCAGAGCTACAGGCAGTTGAGCAGTCTTTTCAATCCTTCTCTGAATGGGCAGGTAGCAAGAGTACATAACCCCCAAGAGTGTGCAACTCGACTGTGGGTGCTGTCCCGACAGAATTTCAAGTTGACGTCATTTTTATGATGCAATGCGCACTGTACACGGACTATCAGACGAACCCGGAACCCGTGTCGGACCAACGTCTATCTGATCCTGTACAAATTATTGCAAAGAAAAACGTGTGATGCTTTGACACCCGTACACATGTTGTAAATCACTGGCGCAAGGAGCATTGCATCATAAAATAATGATGTCAACTTGATATTCATATTGATATTGTGTATGTGGAAGTTGCACACTCTGGGGGGGGGGGGGGGTATGTACTCTTGGCAGGTGGACAGAGAGGTAACCATGGTAACGGGGAGGGTAGAGAAAGTAGAAGCTACTGACCATCGGCAGCAGTGAGGCTGTCTGTCTGTGGGTTGAAGTCAAGACGACCTCCGAGCACCATGGCTGTGACCAACTAGAAAAGTAACGACGACACGCACACACACACACACACAAACACAAAACTAAGCAAAAGCAGCCAAAGCTCCTCAACCCAAGACTTTCAAAGGCAGCAATTTGTACCTCGACTGATCGAGATTTTTTGATTATGCATGAAACATTACACATGAGCCAAGGGAAAAGGGAAACGTGCATAATTATTATGTTCATACCTCGGGGGAGGTGACGAAAGCATGAGTGGCTGGGTTGGCGTCGTTTCGGCCGGTGAAGTTGCGGTTGTACGAGGTAACAATGGTGTTCTTCTCTCCCTTCACGATGTCTTGTCTGCAGGAAACGTACGCACACAAACAGCATACGGTCACACAGTTTCAAAAACAGCACTGAGAGCATCTGTGCTATTCCTTGATCAGGCCAAGTACAAGCAGCGGCGGCGCCACCTACAACCAGCACAACCAGTCAACGCTCTGCAGTCTACACGCACGTCAAACTAACCTGTTCCACTGTCCGATGCACGGTCCGCAGGCATTGGCCAGCACTTGTCCACCAATCTCCTTGAGAGGAGCATCCTGATAGAGGAGAATGAGCACAGCACACAGCAGTACAATGTATGTCATGGGCACCCTGACAGCCATGCAATGACACACCCAGTGACACAATAGACATGTTGCACATGTATCACATGGGAAGCCATGTTGGTTCCAACTCCACTCAACCCCTGCATCTATGGGTCACAATCACATGATGTCGACCATGTTGGTTCAAACTCCACTCAACCCCTGCATCTTTGGGTCACATGACGTCGGCCATGTTGGTTCCAGTCCACTCAACCCCTGCATCTATAGATCACATGATGTCGACCATGTTGATTCCAGTCCACTGTCCACATGCCATGATCACTTTCTACACAGATTTGTGTCACATGACCAGGGATGTGAAAACAATGATGCAGTATGTACCACGAACAGACCAACCCAGCCATACAGCCACCTGGGCGTGGTTGGGTCCGGCGTTGAACAATACACAGAGAGTGCCATTCTCCGGTTCAACGGAGTGCTCAATGCTCACAGGAGCAAAGCTATTATGTAAGTAGTTTTACTAGGGCAGTCCCCACAGACTTCATGTCTTGTTACGGGGTATCCTAGGTGATCACGTAAGATGTTAATCAATGTTGCAAAGGAAGCTACCTGATGACATTCAGGTGAAAGAGAGTTCCATCTGTCTGGACTACTGGCTTTTACATATATAATGCCTCTGGCAATGCCAAAGAAAACGAGAAAATGATGAAAGCATGATGGAAGATGCACGTTTTAGATGGGTAATGTTTGCCCTCTGCCTTAGCCACACAGACTCCTACAACAGTGCACTCACCAGACCATCTCGTGAGATGGTGGCACGGATCTGCTCAGAGCCAGGGGTGATGGTGAAGCCAGACCTGAAGAAACGTAGAAAAATGACAAAGGGGGAATTTAACTTTGTGTATCTGTGTGTGACAGAGAGAGAGAGAGAGAGAGAGAGAGAGAGAGAGAGAGAGAGAGAGAGAGAGAGAGAGAGAGAGAGAGAGAGAGAGAGTGTATGTGTGTGTGTGTGTGTGTGTGTGTGTGTGTGTGTGTGTGTGTGTGTGTATGTGCCTCCTAAACAAGTAAACAGCAGAGAGATTTGGCAAAAAAGTCTAAATTGCCCCAGGAGGAGCGGGATACCATCAGGCTTCAAGAATGGGGCTCACCGCCGGTCCCGCAATACTCACTTTGCCTTGACACCCTTGCTCAGGGCCTGTCTAGCAATGCTGGCAGCGCGGCCCATGTCCTCGTAGCTGCTGTTTGTGCAGCTGCCAATCAGACCTGGGTGCAAAGAGGCAGTGGATCAGAACAGAGCGATGACGGCCAGATGGCACAGGAGCACGGCAACATAACGTTACATTCTCGCAACCCATGCAGAAACACATACTACGGAGTAATGAAGTGTCTGCTTGCTGCTACCTCTACATTCAATTGAAGCACATTCGCTTAGGTCTCGACTTTTCTGTCCAGTTGAACTGTATCCTTCCAATAGGAGACAGATGCGTGGTCACTGAGGTGTGTGCATTCGAGAGGTCCCAGTGTAAAGTGCGCTGACAATTAGACGCAGTCTCTGCTGCGTGAAGAGTAGGGAAAAATAGCATGGTCAAACAGCTGTTGAGGGTCTGTACATTAGAGCCGGCAGCATCATAGACTACATGAGCTGCAATACGAGCAATCGGCCTGCTAGCGTAGCGACTACGATTGTAGCCTGACTGATCACTTACCGACTTTGACGTCCATGGGCCAGCCTTCCTGCTTGGCACGGGCACCGAGCTCGGAGATAGGGTGGGCCAAGTCGGGGGTGAACGGTCCGTTGACATGGGGCTCAAGCTGAGCAATGCACACGCAGAGAAGAGACTCAAAAGTGAACGAATACCAACGATAGCTACATGTACAGTGACCATAGGCGACACTCAGACTGACACAGTAACCGTAGGCGTATACCACACTCTACCACCACGGCACCTTTGACAGTACCACTCCCGCTACAGTGGTGATGTGCAAGTCACACAGCCTGGCCAAATGGGCAGCATGGTGGAGTAGCAGCAGAGTAACAAAATCACCAAATACAGTAGCATTCACCTGCTGTATATACATGTACTGTCGTAGACATTGAAATTAGGGGTGTCATCGAGTAGTAGGGTACCCGTGCTACCCGCAATTAGAGTGGGATGACTGGGACTGGCGCCCTCACTGCTTTTAGCGAGTAGACCCAGGTGCTCGAAGTCCGTACACTTTTACAGTGTGTGTTTGCCGAGCTGAAACTCACGCTAGCAATGATCACTTGCCAGAATCCTGCTCGTGGATGGAAGGTATCTTGTCCAAGTTTGTTCTGAGGCCAGGCTCGATTGAACCAGGCCATCTTTCGATCCGATCTGTTTCTCTGGAGTTCGCTCATTTTTCATATCAAATTTTGGTGTCGCAGAGGGTACTCTAAGTCCGTACTGATCAGAGGTGACTCGAAATACACACATATTTCTGCTAATTGCTAACTTGCAATCCCTCGGTTACGACGAAAGTACCGAAGGGATATGTTTGGCATGTGCCTCCACCAGTATTTCTTGCAAAAGCGTAGTTTGTTGCCGCAATGCAAGCTGTTTTTAGTCGGCTCAGAGAAGAAGCAGCTGCGCTGTGAAAACCGCGGGAAAACAGTGGTGGAGATGCCAGGAGTGTCAACCTTTCTGCAAGGATTGTTGGTTCTCTGTAAATTCTTCTCCTCTGGCCATTGTCAGCTCTAAGCTGGCTCTTGATGATTGAGTGAAGGTCTGTTTGACGCTGTGTCCGTTCGAAATCGGTCTTGGCAAAGTTGATTTTTGCATGAAATGTAACCCAATTTGTATTCGTATGGACAGTCGAAAACCCACTCCCGGGCCCGATCCCGTGGTATGGGACTTCTGCTTATCGTAGATCCCTGAAAATTGGTACGCGAGGAGAACATACCACACTGTCCCCTCCATAAAATATTTGAGTCGAATACAATAACAGAACATGAAATTATGGGCGTACGAACTTAGGATACCATGTACGGACTTCGAGCACCTGGGTCTACACACGCTGTAGTTCAAATACACAATGTAAAAAAATGGACCCGCAGTGCTCGCGGATGCACGGCCAGCGTCGCGTGGCTGTTTGACTTCTCAACGAATCTAAATGTCTGCTACAGCATAGGCAGTGCTTGGATCAAGATCAGCAGCGAGCACCAAGGCGACAAAGTGAACACATAAGACATCAGCTTACCTCGGACAGGTTGATCTCGACGACCTGGTCATACTTGGCACCCTCGTCGCTGGTGAGCAGAGAGCTGCGGTACTCGGTGGAAAGGTCGGCAATGTCTGCAGGTCAGCAAACCCCCAAAATACACAGTACAGCACAGGCAACTCATCCAGTGTAGACATTATGTGCTGCCAGCCAGTGGGCATGTATAAACAAGGAACAAGTCAGGAAATAATGGTCAACACGAGACACTTTCGGATTAGCAAAGACAGCAGCAAGGATGATTACAACAATCTTACTGATCTGATGGTCGGACAAAGTCAGACAAAAGTGGTGGGTGAAGGAGCACAAGGGCAAAAATCAATTGGTTCGGGTGAGATAATATTGGAGTCACAAACAGCAGGCTCAAGAAGCACAGGAAACACACACACACACACACACACACACACACACACACACACACACACACACACACACAGCAGTAACTTGCTCGTAGGTTGCCCAGCACATCGTCACACTCACCAGCACGTCCAGTAGCTCTCAAGTAGCGGTCCATGCTGTCCGTGTAGGGGAAGACGGAGGTGGTGGCACCAATCTCAGCACCCATGTTGCAGATTGTGCCCATACCTGCAGCACAAACACAAGACACGCCCTAGCTCTTAAGAGAACTTTCGAAAGTCATCACAAGCCATGTGCCGACATTACTGTGACATGTAGACTATACACAGACAAGTCCACTGAACACGTGCGTCTACAGTTCACAGTAGAAGATGTAAAGTGAAACCTGTTTAAGACACCGCTCAAGGGATCTTCAAAACATAGTCTCTGGTACCAGGTGGTCTCCTTATCCAGGGTCATTAGACTGGAAATAGCATTCCTTGGTCCTGGTTCCAGCGGTCTTCTAGGACAGGTGGTCGCCTTGACAGGTTTTACTGTACACTGTGTCAGATAGTGTGCAGCCAGACTTGAGGGGGCATGTCCACCTACAGTGTAGTGGCATACACTGTATCAGATAGTGCAGCCAGACTTGAGGGGGCATGTCTACCTACAGTGTAGTGGCATACACTGTATCAGATAGTGCAGCCAGACTTGAGGGGGCATGTTCACCTACAGTGTAGTGGCATACACTGCATGATAGTATGATGCTCTGCCTGTGCATTCCACATCCCCTTCAACAACTTGACGCCCAGCACAACAACAGACTTGAAACAGAAGCGCTCTAACGCGATAGGTGCTGCTGCGTTTGACTCTTACCAGTGCATGAGAGAGACTCCACACCGGGTCCATAGTATTCAACGATAGCACCAGTACCACCCTTGACAGTCAGAATGCCAGCCAACTTCAGGATGACATCTGTACAAGCAAACAAACACACCCACACACATACACGTGCATGCATATCCACACACGTATGCATACCCACGCACTCATACACAGAAAACACAAAATATAAGCTAGGACAAACAATACCATCCATCTCGGAGCCATGCCAATGAACTTTTCGACCAAAACTGTCGTCAACATCTGCCACCACCAAGGGTACACGGTATACATACTTGGAAAGTGTACAACAGTCACTCACACACACAGCAATGGCACAACCAAGAAAAATTCATCAAGAAAAAAAGAGAAGAAAAAAAGCAATGAATATGGCAAAGCGCTCATCCAGTAAGCCATAATAACTACCAGTCTATCTGCAATGCCAAATCAATGTTGCACCGGCCAGGTATGTAACAAAGCCACTTCAAAGAATACGGCTTGTTTCGTTTTACCAGTGCCAAAATTCCCAACATAATGACAAATCTGGGATTCGAACCCGCAATCTAACGTACACGGATCACACAAACTACCACAGGACTATCAGAGGTGTACAGGTGGAAGACCCAAACCGAGATTTAGAAACTGTGACTGTGACTATTGTAGATGAGGATTCGGCCTTCACTACAATGCAGCCAGTAAGACTATTTTTGAAAAATGTGGTTCATCTGGCTGAGCTGAGCTGGGTTGCAACTTTACTGCAGTGTATGTGTTCACTCAGCAGATCTAAGCCATCCACACATACATGCATACCGTATTTTTCCGGTTGTAAGTCGACCTTTTACGACTAAAAATAGGAGAAAGGGTGGGGGTCGACTTACAACCGGGATTCGACTTATAACCGGGAACTATCAGTATCAGTTAATTACAAAAAATGACCTGCACTGCATGCACGAGTGCACCATGTGTACACATTTTTGCCAGTTTATTGGCATTTTTCAAGGATTGGGACGTTAAACCCTCCAATAAGGAATGTTTACATGATTTGTTGTGTTAGTAGCAGGGAGTGGGTAGTAATGCTTCGTTGGGTGAAAACTTTAAAAAGCAGAATTGAGACCTCCGGATACGGGGGTTGACTTATAACCGGGGTCGACTTACAACCGGTAAAATACGGTAAGCAAATGGCACGTAACAGTGATAACATAAAAACAAAAAGACGAACAAACTGACCCTTGGGGGCAGTCCATCCCTTGAGCTCTCCGGTCAGCTTGACACCAATGAGCTGTGAGACAAGACAAGATACGAGTACTGTACCTGTCACTACCAGGCCAAAAGCAAAGCAAAACGGAGCGCAACACTCATCTACATCTACATGTAGTCGTCTACAAAATGGCATGCAGACCAAGAGTCTGCCCTCGTGCACAAGTTCACACATCCTGGATCTCTGGACCCAGGTGTAAGGATCTCAGCAGGAATTGACACAGTATCACTCAGCACCTAAGAGTGTTAGCAATGTCAGTGTGGCTATACCAGTAACCCAAACTAAAAGTTATTCGGGATGGAGTCACTCACCTTGGGGCACTTGAGCTCCCAGGGCAGACCAGCCATGACATCGACCGCGTCGGCACCACCAACACCGACACAGATACCGCCCAGACCACCTAAACAAACACACAAAGCAACCACACAGGAAGTGACGAAACCTGTTGCAGTAATCTATAATCTGCACCAATTCGCGCTTGCTTGGTTTCTTCACACTGGCATCTTTTCGTCGTAACTTCTAAGTGCATGAGGTTACTCATTTTACCGTGTCGTTTCTGGCTACTCTTCTCTGTACTGTTGCCATCACAGGTCTTTCTTGTGCTTGTTCAGTTTATTTGTACCTGCATTTCACTTCATGAGAGGGCGGTGGAAGTACTAGTGGAACGGTTTAGAATAAAGTTGATTGTGATGAGCCTGTAACAAGTTCCTTGAGTGTGCATTCAAATCAACTGTGACATGTATGTGACAGTTGGTCGAGGAAGCATTCACATAGCAACACCCACCCCCACCCCCACCCACACACAAGTGAACCTCCAGTAGCTGAAGAAACTGCATGCCCAAACCACTACCGTGCACAGCATAGAGAGATAAGAGCTAGAGTTCACGATAAACTGAAGCTACCTACCTCCATTGGGAGTGTGGCTGTCAGTTCCAATCACCATGACACCGGGGTAGGCATAATTCTCCAGAATGATCTACAGCACATTTAAAATTAATACATGTACACCGCAAACAATATCAGTACGCGCAGTCAATAGTAACCCTCCAACAAGACAGGAATTGGCAAAAGAATGTTTCCGCTTATAACAATATAAGTGGCACACCCAACCGCCGATCTCTGTAAAAAGGCGTGCTTGTGTCCACTCTTGTGATAAGTCACACTATAGTACTATGTACAGTGTAGTCATATCTGCTTATTTGACATTGGGGTTTATTGTAGAAAGCGCGACCTATATTCCGAGAACACATGGTATGTATCGCTGGAATTATGTCATAAGCAAATCGACAGTTATTCTGAAAATGTTGCAAACCTGGACAAGACCAAGAAAACGTTCATGCCCAAATGAAGCCCGGTATGTGCAGCACCCCCCCCCCCCCCCCCCCCCGCCACACACACACGGTAGCAGTACAGTTGTGCTCAGTGAAATCCGAGCCAACGTGCTGGAAGTCCACAAATACTCGGCGCATATTTACTTTTCGACTATTTTCGGCCTGGTCATACTTGGCCGAAAATGTGTTTCAGCCGAAAAACTTGTTTCGCAAGGTTCAGTGTGACAGTGTATACAAGCAGCAGCAATACAGGCCGAAAATGTAATGTGGCCGAAATGTATTTTAGCCCTCGGAGGCCGAAACTTGAATGGGCCGAAAAATTGTAGACTTATAGTATTTGCACGTCCCTTGCTGCCCTGGAAGTGGTACGAATGCGGCTGGACGTACACATGTACAAGACTAGAATAGTGTGTAACAGGAAATGGTCCAGGGCGTCACTTTTGTACTTTGGGTCGGATTTCAGTGAGCATGACTGTATATTATGTACATGAGAGCAATGTAGTGTTAACATACCTGGTGAATGATACCGGAGCCTGGCTTCCAGAAGCCGACACCGTACTTGGCGCTGGCAGAGGCCAGGAAGTCATAGACCTCCTTGTTGACATCCTTGGCACGGGACAGGTCGGTGTCGGCACCCTCCTTGGCCTCGATCAGATGGTCACAGTGGATCGTGGATGGCACGTTTACGCGTGGCAAACCGCTGCTGATAAACTGCATCATAGCCATCTGCAAAATGGAAATCAGAAACAGGAAGGGAGCAGCAGTCAGGACAAGAAAACATGTATGGAGATTGGTCTGAGTGCTCACTGAGTGTTGACATACTGTAAGGAGAAGTTAGGGCCCAGTCTATTAGTGACTGCCACACTGTCAATCGCGCTTTGGTGGCGCATGCAATGCCCTGTCAAGCATCTGAACACGGGGAAGTATGCGGTGTGCAACACAACGGCAGTTCCAGGGACACGCCGGGCAGCGCTTCACACACGGTCTGTACGCTATAGCATGTGCATTCATGGAGAAGATCTGTGCCTGGAAAAGTGTCCGTCTAGTGTATGTCTTATCTGGTGTGGGCAATGTGAGCTCCACCGTATCACTCAGCAACAAAACTAAACATGCAAACGATAATAGCACATGTCTCACAGAAGGGGCAAAAAAACTGCAGTTGATTCTTCACTGAACATTCGGGCAGGATGAAAGAACAAACAGTGACTCAGCTCACCTGAGCAGTGGCATCCTGCATGGCAACTCGGTCAGGTCGCAGGCGCAGGTAGGACTCGCCACGGGCAATGTCCTGAGTGAGCACACATGGTCACGTGGAGACACACACACACACACACAGAACCCACAGCACATGAAGAATACCAAGCAAGGGAGCCGCATCAACATCCACCCTAAAGGTTTTTGACACAGAAAAAAGTGCTCACCTGCATGCACATCCACATACCCGCATCCACACTTGTACTGGTACTTCATCTGTGTGTGCAAGCAAACAGCCCCCCCCCCCCCACCCCCGTCTCTTTTATTTCTCTTTACCTGGTTCTGAGGATCATCCAAATGGCTGTAGACGATCTTCTCAGCCAGAGACAATGGGTGATTAAGCCTGGACACAACAGCGCACACAGCCGCACAAAAACAGTCCTCATAACATAGTACTCTTTCACATGTACATGGTCTGCAGAGACAATGTCTAAACATCTTCTGGCTGTGCAGAGTGATCAGTGTTCATGGGAACACAGTGATCAATAGATCAGGCATACTGCTATGCCCCTGGTGTACGTATGCACACAAGCTCCAGTGCATGCAACAGCCCTGCCAAAGACACGACGTGTGCAAGAAACCAAAACAATAGTCCCGCAACAGCGAGCCCCCCCCCCCCCCCTCCCCATACACCCTTGATTTTAAAGCTGAGAAGAAATTCCGCAAAGCCGAGTACGGCCCAGGTACAAGATAGGATTTAGAATATACACACAGTGAACTATTAGGAGCACTAAAACACCAGCCCACTTTAGCTGAGCACTGTTTGCTGCCGCTCACAGGAGAAGTGAGTACGTACTGAGAGCAGTGCATGAATCCAGTTCGCTGTGTACACATCGCATGACATTCAGTCAGGATTCGCGCATCCCCACACACGTCCACACTACAACCACAACCCGCGGGGTCCAATCGGCGGGGTGCTCTTGGCTGTGTTTTATGCCATGAGCCGCACAGCCTTCTTGTGTGAAGCTTACCTCTTGCGCACCACCTCCAACGTAGACAAATTCTCATCGTACTTGATCTTGGCGCTGGGCTCGAACTGGCTCACTGGCACCTGGACATGACCAGCACAATGACACAATACCAGTATACATGTATTGTCGTGGACATGGAAATCCGGTCGCACGTCTAGCGGTCCCAGGGCGCTGGCCATGCAGCCATGACATGCATTATTACGCGCTGCCGCTGGTCGAATCGCATCAACATGTGCGCTGCATGCAACGACTTACATTCTGTACGCGCTGAGGGCGCCGGCCCCGGTCAATCGACTGGATTTCCATGTCCGCGACAGTACATGGATGCGTAACCTGCCTCAGATGCAGAGCTGCGCTTAGTCCTGGCGAGGGAAATCCAACCTCATGAATAAAATAGCGCCCGGGGCTACGCAGCCCATAGCACTACACACACTGTTCTGTGCACTCGAACACGGCACTACTATATTCATGTAGTTGGATCTCTCTGGCCATAGCTGTACTTGTACAACATGCGCATACGGCGTTTTGTGAATGACATCATTGTACATGCTTCGTATGGAGTTGCAAATCGGTGCTCGTGATGCTATTCCACACAACACACTTCAAAAGATGATGCCATAGTCTCTGTACAGTGGAGCTAGAGGCTCAATACTTGATGAGTCCATATTTCATTGGCCAGAATATTAAATGAGCTTTGCCACTACGGTGACCACTGGTGACGAAGACTTTGTGACATCTCGTTCGAGTTTTTTTTCAAATATCACTATTGTGGTCATCAGTCTACCATGCAATACACGACACCAAGCACTATGAGCCAAGTCACACGTCCGTGTTCCTGCCTCTTTGTTTCATTGCTGAGCCAAAATAGCCTCATCTTAACATAATTCATGCCATCAATTGCAGTGCATGTGTCCCGAAGAGTGTACAATGCTTCTTTGGCTTTTTGAAAGCAACTGGAATTTGCTCCATGCAAGTGGCATGGCATCACCTACAATGCAAGAGCTTCCGTCGTCTTGGTTTTCATTCTCAATCTCATCAAGCGTTCTCGAGTGACTGATATCAAATATCTGAAATTTCAGAGATTGCTACAATTGCTGAGATTGCTGTGGTTGGTGACTCAGTACTAGCCAGAAGGATATCACGAGATCCAGCTTCTGTAACAATCGTTCCAGCTATCGGAAAGTACTACTGATACTAGAAATACGCTGTGAGCTGTGCCAGACAATCACAGATCTTCAAGAAGATCTTGAAACCGGCACAGACAAATCGTGGATTCGGTAGTTAGGGTCAACTTACGTTCGTGGCGCAACGAACGCCCACAAGTCCGCGGCCCTGCAACGTGACACAACCCAACAAACATCACCACGAGGAAAATTCGATGTCTGCATCTCCAACAAAAAAAACCTACGGGGCCTCTCAGCGTCAAGGCACGTCGGCACCACATCTTGGACGAGAAGAAATAAAACTCGACAGCAAATGGAGCCAAACAAGCTCGACAAGTCAAGAGAAACTCTTCTCGACCTTGAACATGAACTGCTCTGTTCAACTTCAAGTGCAAAAAAAGTCAAAGTCTTTGAATGCACCAAATCTGTGGCTTTGAGTGATAGTTGAGCCACTTTTCTCCGCTCAGCGTGATTTTTGTCAGACTGCGTTGATGTGGTGGTCACGCTATCGCTAGTCGGTGTTTTATACCGCGCTAGTCGCTACAAACGAGGTCAACGAAGCCTGCTAGCGAGCGAGCGTTGGTCGGTTGGCGTGGAACGCACCGGCTGCACGGTGATACCGGTCCTTTGCTACCAAGGAAGAAGTAATAGTTGCGCAATATACAATATTTTCTGTTTTCCTTTTGAAGTTTTGTCCTGACTTGTTGTTTTATTATTGCTTGTTTGTATTTTGAACAGATGATCATTATTGCACAATATTCATACCAGTGTGGTTGTGTCATGGCTGTCACCAGAGACATTTATAGTATAGGAGGTTAACCGGTTATCTGGTTATGCCCTCTTGCGACCTTGCTGTCATATCACCATGATCACCCTTGTCACAAATCGACAGGTCCAAAACTAAAGCACACACGTACAATTATGTACTACAACTGAGTACAAGAGTCAAGACTAGTCTACAATAGTGTCATACAACCAAAATGTACATGTGAGCGGACAAGGTAGAAATGGAACGTTAGCTGCATGACATCATTTTGAGATACAGGCGTTTGAAGTTTGGCAAACTGTGGCATATTTTTTACCTGGGTTAGAGGGCTCTATTTGCATCAAGCGCTTGTGCCTCGCTCAGCACAGGGCTTCAAGGTCCAGCACCCAAAATTTGAAGTGAATCCGTTATGGCTGAAGGAAGATATGGCAGCTAGTTGTGCGACGGGTGGCGTATTGACGGGCGAATTTGGAGGTGACGGCGATCAGCTGATAGCCTGCTGTCAGGTGTTGAGAGCTTCTCTGATTCTGAGAGCGTTTCTGAGTCAGGTAGTAGTCGAGAGCGTCTTCCACTACGCCGAAAACGACGTGCCGATCAGCGTTTTGTTTGCTGCTGGCTTCAGCGCGGTACAAAAAGACATAGGGAACAAATGAGATGGATCTTTCGGATGCAGGCGAACGTGGTGACAGCAGTGATGATGATAACACCAATGAAGGGGAACGTTCCTGTGGATGCTGAGTTGTACTGAATGTATACGCCGAACCGACTTCAGAGCTCTGAAGCACACATGGCAGGAGCTGAAGAAACAACAGCGTCGTGCACCACAGGGGAACGTATACAGGGACTTAATAGCCCAGAACAACTAGCTAGCTGTTGCCCAATACATTGGATGCAAGTGGCAGACCTGCATCGTGCACTGTCTGGAAATGAGTGTTTTAAGAATTGAGATACACAGAATGGTCAAGGCTGGTGAACATGACCTGAGTGGAAAGAAGTCAAATCGGGCCTCGGATTGCGGACTGATGTGTAACGTTACGTTAAGTACAGTTTATCAAGTCTGTGGACTCGTCCTGCTTCGCCAATGGGCACCGTATTGGTGGTGCGTCTCCGGAATATTATTTCGATGCTGTGTGTTCAAGAGCTGTCTGTCTCCTGCCAAAATGTTACAAACTATATTACCAAGGTGCGCCGCTCAGTCGTCGGGAGCCTCAATGCATCAGAGCAGAGTCCGAGGTCGCGAACAGTATACGATGAGAGCGTGCACACATGGCTGAAGCAAGAACGCACTGGAATTACATTTGTCCGTCAAATTCTTCTATTTTTGACATGTGTGTAGTGGTATTTGATGTGTGGATTGAGTACCAGCTTCAACAGTCCTATTATTTTGCCTTGCGCGGCATCACGAGTTACTCTGGAGCTGATTTTTCGGCTCCGGCTGTTTCTAGTTATGTGGTTTTGTTGCTTGGTTCCACCTCAAACGAGTCCATGTGTGTGATCAGCTCGTCTTTCACACTGATATACACTTGTGGAGAAATACAGGCCAAGATAATGGTTTTTTTTTCAGTGTTTTGGTTGTACTGAAGGGTGGACTGTTTAAATCATCCCGAAACAGACGTTAAAATACTGACCGGCATCTAGAAAATGGTGAATGTAAGGCACTTCCCACCATAGTATCAGCCTGAAACTTTGGGATCTGAAAAACAGATAGTTGTAGGTGACCTTCATGCAAAAAAACAGTTTTTGCCAGACTGCAGTTAACGTTCCATTTCTACCTTGTCCGCTCACACAGACGTGTCTATTCTGGGTGCAATGACATTCTGGAGTGTTGTACTTCTACTACACTGTAGTTCTAGGCTTTGAAATAATTGTGCCAGCTCATTTCCTGCATGCCCATGTCCGCCCGAAACTGTCAAAGCGTTGAGTGCAATCATGTACATGGGTCAAACTACGTGATTGAAATCAGGATAATTGATTGTATTACAAAATATCACCGTAGCAGAAGTGATGTCAGCGTTGATCTGAAGGGGCAGACAGGTTGGCCATTGTGTATTACCAAATTCCTACTGCTGTGTAATCAGTACTACCAAGAGTTTTTTTTTTACACACATAAAAGTATTCTTCATTCACGAGTTCGAGTACCATCGATCATCAGTGACATCAAGAGTGCATACCCCCCCCCCCCCCCCCCCCAGGTTATGTACTCTTGATACACTGTACTACTGTACTTGTAGCACTGGTCTATTAGGGTATACTGATGTACTCTGTAATTGGTCATGACATAATTTATGAGATTGAGTGCATGTATCCCTTTAATATGGTCTCATGAAATCGAAAGCACAATTTGTTCACGGTTGGGATAGGATAATACACGACGACTGCAGTTGGACACGGGCGCGAGCATACAGAGCTGTCGTTATGTCATCAGATGGCACACATATTGGACAGAGACATGCACATGCGGGGAGTCTGATGTGGACACTGTCCACATACACCACACACGCACGCAGAGGTAACTTTCTTCTTTAGGTGTTGTACACAGCCCTGGCTCTACACACTTTCAATCACTGAGCAATCGCGTGTCCACTCACTCCCTGGTTTGAATAGGGATAGTTCAAATTCCTAGCCCTACCCAAAGTCACACGGCTGGAAGGCCACGGCCGACCATATACACAGTCAAAGCTAGCACCAGCATACGAACAGATGAGCAGGTGCACGTGCATGGCTCAAGAATCGAAGATGGGTATCTTCATGGTCAAGAACAACAAAAAAACAAAAACAAGGTCAGATTCATTATGCCTGCAGGGCGAGGAGAGAACGAGATCGATACAAGACAGTAGTGCGTTTTCAAGGCAATGACAGACGTTGTCAAGAAGACCAGAAGGTCTTAGGTTAGAGGAGAATAAAATGACCGGGTAAGAGGTATAACCTAGTGTAAAAAAAAGTAACATGATATACCGGGGAAAGTTTAAAACTCAGTGAAAGAACGGACGAGACGCCGTAGAGGTTGACACAAGTCTAACATTAAACTGAGGTTGCAAAGTACGCCTGAATACAGCAGGCAGATAAGCTAAGTCAACAGAATTAAGAATGGAAACCCCGCGATAGGACTGTGTCTGGTAAACTTAGAGAAAAGGGAGAGTACTCTCAATGTGCACACACACATCACCACCCGCGACAAAGACAAAGACACACACGTACACGGGCTCACACGTCATCAAGAACACACACACACACACACACACAAACGCATGCATCGCACAATACCTAAAGGAAACCAGCCAAACGACAGGGGAGGAGAAACCGTGTCAAGACTATATACATTGGTACAAGCATTTCTAAAGATCGGTACGGCAGGGCAGGTGCCCAATGAGCAGCCAAACAACAGCTAGCACAGGACAAACCAGTCAGCTATTAAAAAAATTAAAAAACCCCTGATAGAATAAGGGCACGACAAACATGTCAGAGTTCATACAGGACAAAACACACTAGAGCTCTGCACGTTGCACATACACACTGTTCTCACCTCTAGGGATCGAGTGGCGCGTCTGTGCACGCATCTTTCTCATCAAGTTGCTTTTGCATGCTGGCACACTGCTTCTTGAGCTGCAAGCAGATGCGGTAGAGCTCCTGCGAGCGGTCGTGCTCGGACTTGTGTGGCCGCATCTCCGGGTTCCAGCGCGTGTAGTACCCAGGCCAGAACTGCAGGCGGCGCATGGACGCCGACGGGTGCAGCACACAGCTGTAGCCGCTGCTGGAGTACAGCGGGTTCATATACTCCTCCTGGTTCTTGGCAACGTCCGTCCACAGGGAGATCGTCTTGTCCTTCACCTCCTCGGCACGCTCTTTCTCCGAGTTGCACAGGAAGGTGCCATACAGGCACGAAAACAGGTGGTCCAGAATGGTCAGCAGAAAGTGCTCGTTGAACTCGAATGCACACGGGTACTGGTTGGTGATCTGCCACACGGCATCAATGAACTGAACAAAGATTGGCGAACGCTGCTCGTCACCACTGTGTTTGTCCCCATGACCAATACGCTGCTGGAATTTGTGGCCGAACGCAAGCCATTCCTTCTCAATCAGCACGCTAAAACCCGCTATCGTCCGGTAGTACGGGTCCATCAACATCATCGCCAGAGCACAGAGCTGCGATGTCCGATCCCAGCCGTCGGAGCAGTGAACGAAGACAGACACGCCGCTGCCGTCCATGTACTCGACTATACGATTAGCTCCGACCAGCACCAGGCGAACGTGTTCCAGCCAGTGTGTGCCCTCTAGATTGGACAGCCAATGCGTGTCCTCGATGGTCGGATGACACATGTCACGCAGCTTCTTCAGGCTATCGCGCATTACATGGATATTTCCAATGTCCAAAAATACCAGATCCATGCCATAGGCCTCTTCATCTTCATAGCCACCGCCCATAGCCTTGTTGGCTATGGCGTTCAACTTTGGCCGAGCATCCAGAATAACAAGCTTCTGCGTTTGAGGGTTGGCCTTGGCGATCTCTAACAGGAAAGCCTCGTCCTCCTTGCTTCGCTTTCCAAACTTGCCAACTTGCGGCTGGGATCCGCGGAACAGCGATGAGCGGTTTTCTGCGTGCATCCAGGAAAAGGCCGGCAGTCGGTTGCGGCTACGGAACGCTGTGGCGTCCTTCACTTGGTCATCTGTGGCTGATGCTGGAACAGCAAGGACGGGTGGGTAGGATGCACAAAGTTCATAGTTTTCATTAAGCGTCGTCAGCCGGAACTCTTCCGATGGGACTCCAATTCGTGCGAGCTCAGCCTTCATGTCGAACTGGGCTGCGGGACTAGTCTCCCCACTAGGGGGAACAGCGCACACACCATACTCGTACGCGAACAGCGGCCGGCCACTCGACAGCGGGTATGCTAATCGTTGCATCGTTTCGAAAATGAGACGGCGCGAGTGGCCCTCTTGCTTGAAGGCGAACCTGAACGTCCTGAAATCCTTGAACTGCACTTCCAGTCCATAAGCGAATTCACCCTTACTACTGGCACCACCGACCTTCTCCACAGTGTGGACAGCACCCATTGGAGCCACGTAAGTCAACTGTGGTTCTGACTCTGTTGTAGTGAACGTCATCTTGTATGTGCTGAGAAACAGCGTTCCCGGCAAAACGCCATTGTACGGGCAAACAAGGGACACATGCTTGGCAGCCACCTGCATGGACTCTCCGGGTAGCAGGAGAGGGTCTCCGGGCTGAGCAAGCTTCTCATTAGCCTCTAGCAGAAACCGACTCTCGACACTCTGCTCCTCGCTCACGCTAGTTTTACTGGCAGACTGCGACATGTCGGTAACTGTCGATACGGAAATTTCGGGAGCTGGATGTGCCTAAAATTTCATTCCTTCCTGTCACTTTCGCAAACAATCAAACACGCATTCTTCCTTCATCACCAAATCAAATTACTTGCCTCACGCCCACACTTTCAGCATTGGAATGAGACCAGTTTCAGGCAAAGAAAGAAAAAAAGTATGCATAAAATATAACTGGCATAGTCTACTACTATTACTAAACCACGTAAACTGGGAAGAGATTACACGTGGAAACTCAAATACCTAATCGGCTAATGTTTTCTTTGGAAGAAAACTACTTGCACGATCTGTGTCTTTTCAGTTTGATCTTCCACCACCACCACAACCTGACAACCAACAGTACTGGCACTGTACTTGCCACAACATAAAGCGCATGCATGCAGTACGCCAAACTAAAGTACAGTACGACTCACTCTCGTACATGTACAACGCTGCATGAGGAGCCAAGATAAAGACAGCGAGAGTGCAGTGACTTTCTCGCTCACGGATATGGTAATATTACTACCCCATGCTGACAGAATTATGACTTTATAATGATTATTGACTGAATATTGAGCATTGACTCATCATGGTCATAAACCTTGTGCTCACTATTCTCAAGAGTATAACCCCCCCCCCCCCCCAGTACTCCTGCTATTCTCTATACTGTAAACCGTGAAATTATTGCAATGGTCTAATTTCTGCGAAATTCGCGACCGCGTGGGAATCGCGAAATTTAGCCAGCGCGAAAAGGAGATCCATGAAAGGTTTAGCAAGAATGCCACAGGTTTAGCAAGAATGCCATTCTGCGATCGCAAAATTAAAACCTCGCAAACCTGTCCGGATTCTGAAAACGCGAACTAAAAACGCCGCGAAAAGTTCCGCTTTACAGTACCCTATTCCATCCTATTCCACATGCTGCAATAATATCCATCGCACCAAAAGTACACCAACCTCTTGATCGCAGCCCCGTTACTTTGTGAAATTACGCTGATCATCCCCATTTGAGAATATTCAATTATTAGGCCCTAATAATAATATAATATAATTCATCCGCAAATTTTCCCCTCCTGAGGTCCCACAGACATCCTATGATTTATAGCAGTCTTATAGCCCACATTCAAAATGTTAAAAAATGAATCACTGCAGGGCTGTCGGAACCGGTCCGGTTGGTCGGGTTATTACCGGACCAACATTTTAACCACCAACACAGTCATGTTCACTGCTATGGAGGCCATGCGCACCCGCCATATCATACACAAAGTATGAAAGGCACTGAAACTACCGGACCAATCAAAAACTGCTTCTGACAGGCCTGTGGGGGTGAAGTCAGGTGTTCACCCAGTACGTTGCATTTCGCATTGCAAGATAGTTATTTTGAACATGGAAATATGGGTTACACGGTAACTGTTTCCCCCCACTAATTTGACCTGGCTAGAACCCTGCGTTATTATTGACCACAATCATGCATGATCGACGGTCCTTGGTGTTGGACATGACATGTCGATGGTGGGCCATCACATCAACGGCTACTCGGTCGGAGTCGAATCCTTGTGGCAGAAGACTATACAATTGATGGTTCGAGTTACACACAACTGGTAATCGGTGATTGGGTATGTCACTATGTGTATCCCTGTGAGGCACCCCTGTTCGGTGCTTGCCATACTGAATCCGCAATACATACATGCACATGTGCAGTATGCACGCTTGTGCAGTTAGTCAGACGACAAACCCGTGAGTGTCCGGGTATACCTGGTGGCGTTGCAACAGCATACGGCGAAAAGAAACCAACCATGCCATGATCGTTGAGGGAACGTCATGGAATAGAGACAGGCCTTATGTCATCACAACTGCATGCCAGCATAAACTGTATTCCAGCTATGTGCGGACCAACAAAAGGTAGCAGGCTGGTAAAAACCGGATAAAGAACAATTTGAACAGCAATTTTGAAGCAAGTTGCTAGGCAAATGCTTCGCTGTCAACAAGGGTTAATGAAAAGGACACAGATAGCAGCAGCATGACAAGTGTTACAAAGCTAAACAAAATTACACCAATGGTACTAAGCAAAGAATGGCAACGAGAGTTGCATTCAGCAGTGGTCCTACCCTAAAGAGTAAAAAGAAAATGGAAAATGCTACAAGTACAGCTATAGATGATCAGTTCACAAAGTTGTGTGGCAAAAGCACAGTCACGACAGCTTACATGTGACCCAGGTATGCCCTATAGATGATATACTGTTCGGCACTCAATAAAGGTATTCTAAAAATAAATAACAACAACAGTAGAGAACAAACTCAGTAGCAGTGGTGAGGCTTCCTGCAGCTTCATTCATAGGAAAAAGTAGAGAACAAGATACTGGAAAATGTGAATCTAAAAAGTGCAAAAGCGCACGCCGTTACATAAACTGGTAGCAAGCCAGTGCACATAGAAGAACAAGTGTTCCAGCACACATTTCTTTGCCTGCTAGAACAGTACCATGCTGATCAATCTCTTCAAGCAAGTCTGAGTACTACTAGCAGCAGTACCACCTACTAGCTTCAGTCAGTCACTGGAGCGGTTCTGAAACTCACTGGCTTGCTTTTCGTCTAGCTGCGTTTGAAGCTCCTCGCAATGTGCCTCCAGGCTGGTACACATTGCGTGCAGTTCAGAGTTGGAATACGAACTGCCCGACGATCGAATGTTGCGTGGACTCCAGCGCGTGTAGTGGCTCGCCCAGAACTGCAGCCGGCGAATGGTGGCAACCGGGTACAGTGCCTGGTTGTGCATATAGCTGGTATACAGCGGATTGCGGTAGCGCTCGCGTTCACGCTCAAGCTCGGACCACAGCGATGCAGTCTTCTGGCGGATACTGCGGCGCTCTCGCTCATTGTCACAGAGAAATGTACCGTAGAGACATGAGTGAAGGTGGTGCAAAATAGTCAGCAAGTATTGCTCGGTGAATTCGAATGCGCTAGGAAACTGCTGCATCACCTGCCAAACGGTGTCAACAAACTGGACAAAAATGGGAGCCCTCTGCTCGTCACCACTGTGCCGATCGCCATGGCCACAGCGCTGGTGGAACTTGTAGCCGAAGGACAGCCACTCTTTCTCGATCAGCATAGCAAAGCCGGAGATGGTGCGGTAGTACGGATCCATGAGCACCATGGCCAGCGAGCAGAGTTGCGACGTACGGTCCCAGCCGTCGGAACAGTGGACGAACACCGACACTTGACTGCGATCCATCAGGTCCACGATGCGCAATGCACCCGCCATGATCAGGCGTATGTAATCAAGCCAGCGCGAGCTCTCGAGCAGTGACATCCAACGTGACTCATCATTTGCCGACGAGCAGACCTCCTTTAGTTTGCGTAAGCTGTCACGCATGACGTGTATGTTGCCAATATCCAAGAATATGAGCTCCACGGTTTTGTAGTTTTCCTCATCCTCATATCCACCACCCATTGCCTTGTTGGCGAGGGCATTAAGCCGGGGTCGTGCATCCATGATAAGTAGCTTATCTGATCTAGGATTGGCCTTGCTGATTGCGGTCAGGTACATCTCGTCCTCCTTGGAGCGCTTTCCAAATTTGCCGACGAGGGGCTGCGAGCCCCGCGTCAGGCTGGTGCGGTTCTCCGGGTGCAGCCAGGCGAGGGTGGGCAGCCTGGCGCGGCTGCGGAACGCGGCGACCGCCTGCAGCTCGGAGTCGCGCACGTTCGCCGGCACGGCGAACACAGACGGGTACGTGCTGCACAGACTGTACTTTTCGTTGATGCTCGTCAAGCGCCACTGCTCGCACGGCACGCCTATCCTACCCAGCTCCTGCTTCATGTCAAAATAGTCCCAACCACTGCTTGCCGCATCTTTGCTTGATGGCAGATTTTCAAAGTAGATGTTGGCAAACAGCTCCCGGCCATTGTTCAATGGAAACGCTATCTTCAACAAGACATCGTACACTTCTCGCCGCGAATGGCCCTCTTGCTTGAAAGCAAATCGAAAGCTCTGGAACTCTTTCAGCTGGATCTCTAGCCCATAGGAATGTTCTCCTTTGCTGGACGCACCACCCATCTTCTCCACAGAGTGTATGAAGCCCACGGGAGCATTGTACTTGCGGTGTGGCTCTTTCTCAGTGGCGATGAACGAGATCTTGTACGTGGTGACATAGAGAATACCCTGCTGGGGTCCATTGAAGGGACAGAGGTATGTCACCTCACTTGCAGAGCCCTCAAGCACCTCTCCTGGTAGAAGGGTAGCATCTCCAACCTCCACAGGCCGGGCGAAATAGGACATGAAGGACGGCCAGTGGTCTCGACCACACACGCACAAACGTGTCAGGAAGCGATATTTTTTACAACCCTCGACAGCAGGAACAAAAACTTCTCTGATCTTTGGTTGCTCACTTCTCGGACGCCGGTAGACACCGACCAGAACTGAGTCTGTAGAGTTAGGATTTTGGTGTCATTGAACTCCAGCTCCGGCTTCCACTGTCTCCATGGTCTCAGCTAGGGCAGCTGGCTTCAACACCGTGGGATACCTGGTGGTGGCCATCAGTCATCAGGAGCTGACTGTCACTTGGACTGGCCAAACACACGAATCGTCGATGCTTGTACAACTCCTTGCCTGTTCTGTTGCCAGTGTTGCAGACACAAGTGACTGGCACTGACAGTCTGTGTTGGTGTTCAAAGACTGCTGTGTTCAAAGACAAGGGAGATCCCCACTCACCCCAGCTCCAGGCCCAGGTTGACTAGCATGTCCTCTGACGTCACAGGTATTTTGGAATGGTTCTTTTTTCTTGCTATTTTTCGACTTCGATGATCACGCTTGAAGAATTTGGTTTGCACGCCTAATTTTTTTCTTCACTTGCTTGGCGCGTGTGTTCGGAATCAATTCCTGTACAGAATGGCTGCTGCTGCTCGAAGGACAGTTACTCTTATCCCAGGCGACGGCATTGGCCGTGAGATATCTGGCGCGGTGCAGAAGATTTTCAGTGCTGCAAATGCGCCAGTTGAATGGGACGTTCAGGATGTTACCCCCGTTCAACTCCCCGATGGTCGGACTGCCATTCCTCAGTCAGTTGTTGATTCAGTAAACAAGAACAGGATTGGACTGAAGGGGCCTCTAATGACACCAATCGGAAAGGGATTTGTCTCTCTGAACCTCACGCTGCGGAGAACGTTCGATTTGTACGCCAATGTACGACCATGCCGCTCACTGGAGGGATACAAAACTCCTTTTGACAACGTCAATTTAGTTACAATTCGCGAAAACACAGAAGGCGAGTATTCTGGAATCGAACACGAGGTCACCAAGGGAGTGTTTCAGTCGGTCAAGCTGATCACGAAGAAGGCGTCAATGCGAGTAGCAGAATTTGCGTTTGATTACGCCCGGAGCAATGGTCGCCGCGGTGTCACAGCCGTGCACAAGTCCACGATCATGCGACGATCGGACGGTCTGTTCCTACAGTGCTGCCGTGAGGTCGCCGAGCGGCCCGAGAACAGCGGCATTGACTACCGGGAGATGAACATCGACACGACGTGCCTTCGCATGATCATGGAGCCGAAGGAATTCGACGTGATGGTTATGCCCAACCTGTATGGTGACATTCTGTCCGATCTGTGTGCTGGACTTGTTGGTGGTCTCGGACTGACGCCTAGTGGCAACATTGGTGCCAACGGCGTGGCCGTGTTCGAGGCTGTCCATGGCACGGCACCCGACATCGCTGGCAAGGACTTGGCGAACCCGACCGCCCTTCTGCTCAGCGGCGTGATGATGCTCAAGCACATGGAAATGGTGGATGTGGCACAGAAGATCGAGAGTGCAGTGTACGAAGTGATTCGCGACGGCCAGCACCTGACGCGGGATCTTGGCGGTCAAGCGAGATGTTCCGATTACACGGCCGCCGTCTGCGAAAGATTACGGTAATCTGGGCTGGGTTTGAAAATATGGTGCGACAGTGACTCTATTTATTAATTTTTTTCGTGTTCTAGCCTAGACCTTCAGATTTCAGTGCCATCATGTGTGTACATGCTTGCGACTGCCGTGCAGGGAGTCGTCAAATACCTGGCATTTGACGACTCCCAGCTGCTGCTCTGAATTCAAGCTATCTCTTGTAGGGCACAGTTCTACCCTGGTATGGTGGTTTTGCGCGAGTCTGCGGCCATTCACATAATCACATATTTGGCCTCTCCCGCGTAATATGCCATGTTTTGCAGAGTGGGCACAAAGTTAGTGCCCATTTGCAGCGGGAATTTCCAAATTGCGTTGCATTATTATCGCATAGTACAGGTCGTCCCTCGTTAATACATAATCTCTGGGACTTGAGAAATGTTATGTATTAACGGGGTTTATGTACTAAACGAAAGTGTACATAAGTCCTGTCCCCCGTGAATTCCGCGGATTGCAGAATTTCCGCAGAATCCAGCAGTGTCCGCGGAATTCAGAAAATCCCACGAAATATTGCAGAAAAGAGCGAAAACTGCTTTTTCTGGAGACTTGTGATGTATTTCACAGCCAAAGCAACCTGCTCGTGACTTTCAAAATCAACTAACTTGCAGTATATGTTGGAGCTTTCAATTTTTGGACCAGGATTTTGCATAATTTTGGTTAAGAATTTATGGGGACAAGAAATTTCGGTAGGGTTGTGGAAATTCGATCTGTTTTGCGCTCATTTCATTGCAGAATTGCCGCAGAATATAGAAGGATTTGCAGAATTTAAATAACCGACGAGGAGACAACAGTCGTAAAATAGCAATGAAAAATATCAATTGTGCACTCATAACCATGTATAAACAATTAAAATACTGATGATGGTCACACGAAAACGTTCTGGAATTGTTTCATTTTAATTGTTTATACATGGTTATGAGTGCACAATTGATATTTTTCATTGCTATTTGCAGAATTAGCGCAGAATTTACCGTTTTCAGCCGCAGAATTCTGCACGGAATTTCTGACATTCTGCCGTGGAATTCACGGGGAACAGCATAACTAACTACTTGCTTGTGTACCAGAAATTTTCACTTTTTTCAACTTTTCTGAGTGTTTCTTGCTGCCATATATGGCCATGACAAGGGAGCGAGATATTCTTGATTCCCTCGATATATTAACATAAAAATTATGTTATAACGGTCACAGTCTAGTCAGCGAAGATTCTAATCTACAGTTTACGTGATACATGTCCAGCCGCGCCTGTACAGTCACTTGGGAAAAAACAGGGCTTTGTCGGTTTGTGATGTGCGCTCTGATTTCTGAGCTAATTGCGTCCACAAGTAGAAACTAGAACACGATGTGCCTCCACTCGAAGGCCTAAAGTCGTAAAGACCAACAAATTATGTAATATTGAGGTAAGTGGCATGTGGGTACGGAGAAATGTTATGTACTAACGAATTATGTACTAACCGACACAATTTGTAAGGAAGCGACCACGTTTCGGCCGGGACTTGAGATTTATTTTGTACTAACGGGGTTTATGTACTAACCGGGCTCGTATTAACGGGGGACGACCTGTATTCAGCACTTTCCAGGTTCTGCGTTGTGACCCACAATAAATGCTCAAGTACTTGAAGTAGGACCGAGATGTTGAGAAAATTTCCGCTGTCAGGTTTTTGAGTTAGCTGCAGTATGCTTACGAAATAATATATGAGCCAGTTTTGCCCGCATATGTGTAACACATGTACGTGTACCTACCTGTATAGTTATACACCATTTTTTGGATTTTCGACTGGCAGGATAGAGTGGGCCGGCCGCTGCTCTCTCTTGTTACGTGATAGTGACAGGTGGTGTGGCATTCACGGTGGAAGATGTACTGGGGGGATGCAACATGATTTATGTAAATGCCGAAGAATTCACATGGTCTGCTTTGCCTAGTTGGGGCATGGAAGAGGGGGCGGGGGGGGGGGGGGGGGAACTGGAGGAGCAACCAGTATAAATACTACAAAAATAAAAATTTGCAATGGTGGTGTTACATGGTAGCAAGAGTTCATAACTGGGGGTTATGAACTCTTGATGGTAACCTTTGGCAGGCGCCACACGTACACAGGCACAGACTCAGTGAGTGCAAAACAGAGATTGAAAAGTGTAAAATGGAATACTGCCAATAGTGGCATTACTGGTACTCCACATGCGGCATGCATACATCGTATACGCGTACTGTACATAATAACAAGAGTAGATAAACAAGAGTGTGCAACTCCGGATCTCTCCTGCACAATCTGCAGATACCCCGCGCCCACGGCGGAATTTTTTGTTTACGTCACCTTTTTTCAGAGAAACGCGGCTTTGCCGCAGAGCAGTGTGAGAGCACGTGCTGGGCACCGACCTTGTACTTGTAGTGTAAAGCCCAGCCAAGTGCACGAGGGAAAACTCTCCAAAAGGCTCGCAGCGCGTGCGTCGTCGAAAAGATTACGTCAACAAAAAATTCCGCCGTGGGCCAATCCATCCGGATCGGAGTTGCACACTCTTGTTTATCTACTCTTGATAATAATCATTGTGCAAAAATTTGTACATGTAAATGTATCTTTTGCTTTTGTTTTGAACATGACGTCATGCGCTGGCTGTGGGGTGTTGCTATGGACACGGGCGCACGCACATGCTTGCTTCCAAAACTAAACGCAAAAAAGTGATCTGGTGTGTTGTGGTGATTTTTCGGTTTCTGAACATTTTCAATTATCTTTTTCAATAACATTGCTTTTGGAAGGGCTGAACGTGAAGACCACTGAATTCTGAACTAACTACTTACTGCTAAGTAACTGATTTCTTGTGAAGTAGTTCGATATAGAGTCTAGTATTCCAGTGAATACGTCTCGAATTGCTGAGATGAATTGATCCTCGCTTCGTTCTGCCACTTTACTTCGAAAGAGATAATTATGTGGAGCAGACGTGCTGCAACATTCAATGAATTGGTACGGATTTGAACTGATTGCGGATGACGGTAATGGTGATGCTCCACATTTGGCTCACTCTGGAGCTTCTCCTTTCTGCTGATTTGTTTGTAGGGTGCTAAATTGCTACGAGAATGCTATGCGTCGCAGGTACGTGGTCTCGTGCTGTGAGCGTTAAAACTTTATGATCACTTGTGCAATTCCACCTGGCTGTTGGTTTGCTTTGAATTCATTTCAAGTCGATGAACAAATGGGCGAACGTACCTTAATGCATATTGACAAAAATATTGACAAAAAAAAATTGTGCGTCAAGTGTGTGGGTACACCTGGGTCTGCGTCCCACCAGCCATACACTGTAGCTTAGTAGTTTTAAAGCATCACTGGCCTATAGAGAAGGTCCATAGTTCCAGTCCTGGTGGTGACAATCAATTTTTCTGCGGACCGTTTTACCTTTTTCAATTCCTCACACCTATGAATATTTGATGGCACTGGGGCTTCCAGCGCACTACTAGTAGTTTATGTGTGAAGTGTGAGTGGGTACACTGAGGGCTGCGTCCCGTCAGCCTGGGTTCTAAATCACCACAGTTTTCAACCGTCAAAATCACCTACTTTCAGCACATAAGTGTCACTCCACCACTCCACACAGTGCGCTCTCGGTCGAGCCACTCCATTTGCACCGTAGGGTGACTATTCTGTTGAGATTCCATGTATATGTGTGGCTAGTACTAGTAGTATCTCCCACAGTTGTTGTTTGTTTCCCGCACCATTTCCAGCACTGCATGCTATGTACATGCGTTGACCTCATGCAATGAGTGATATGCGAACTGTCATTATTATTGTTATGCTATGTACATGTACCAGCAATGCGTGTTTGCATTGACACCTCTGTTAGAACTGTTCTTACCTAGCACCTCAGTTTCCTAGTGTGCATACCACACGTCTACAGAGCTGCTCAATGAAATCCAGTCGTGTCACTCAAGTACGCGCCGGGTGTTGCGCAGCCCTCGACCCGCGAACACCGCGCTGCGAAATGGTGCAAGGCGCAAACTTGACTCGCGCGACCGGATTTCATTGAGCAGCACCGTATGTAGAAAGTGCGGAATCGCGCCTGTTTCGCTCTATATAGCATCAATCACTCGTCTCAAACATTCATTATCCACCACAGTATCCCCTTTGCTAAGCTCTGTTGGATGGAAATATCTGTCTGGAAGTTATGGCAATTTCAGCATCACGACGGAATTGTCCTCGCTGTAATCACATATGGTTCAATTTGCAATCAAGGTCCAATGACTAGATACGAGTGGTGTGCGTAGAACCAGTGATTCTGGATCAGCATGTGTGTGAGTGTGTGTGAGTGAGTGTGTATGTGTGTGTGTGTGTGCGCGCGCGTGCGCGCATGTGTGTGTGTGCATGTGTGTGTGTGTGTGTGTGTGTGTGTGTGTGTGTGTGTGTGTGTGTGTGTGTGCCTGGCTTGGGAGTTGCCAAGACCGTCCCGGCTGGAGACGAGTTGCGAGTAGTACTCCACCGCCACGGCCCGCTCCTGATCCTCTTCTCTGTGTCTGTGGACGCCCATTTCGTCGACCAGGAGACCTGAAACGACATGCCAAATTCTGCGGTTGTGTTCTCACTTGAACTTTCCGACATTCACTATCATTGCGTACGCAATGGGCAAGGTCAAGGTGTGTGTGTGTGTGTGTGTGTGTGTGTGTGTGTGTGCGCGCGCGTGCATGTGTGTGTGTGTGTGTATGCTGTACAGTGTCCATGCCGGCAGCCCAGTCTGGTGCGCACCCATGGCAGCTGGTCGTGCAGGTCTCTGTCAACCGCCGCCGAGGATACAGTACGTAACCAGCCTAGTCAAGCCACTGGACAGCAGCAGCAGCAGCAGCAGCAGCCTGCCGCACCACAGTCCAAACTCCAGTTCCTCGGCGACGCATCAAGCTTCACGAATGCCGCACGGCCTATGCTCGGGGCGCCGATCGATAGCACTCTTGCACGAGCGCCACCAGCGCCCGACAAGCAACCGAGTAAGCCCTTGTGTAGTGATCAACATTGCGATGTGCTGCGGATATACCGTGGGAAGTAATCGGTGCATGCTTGCATTATCCCAGTGGCTGTTTAATAGCAGTGCTTTTGCCTTATACGCCAGTGTTTGGACCACATTTGATATGAATAAAATGAGCGCTAACAGGGGCGTTCCTGTGGGTCAACACACTCTTCAGATTTGCATGCTTCTATTATGAGTCTTGCTAATATGCCTTCGCACTAAATCACGTGCACACCTGTCAATGGTCACTCGGCTCACATGCAGTATTGTGGGAGTAGAGTGGGACAGGTAGGACTGAGATTTGCCGTACAATTGTACTTTAGAAAAAGAGAGGACCGTAGGTTTACAAGTCATCCGTTTTGGCCAACACTAACGATTATAAGCAGGATACTGGCGAGTCAGAACGTTCAACAATTAGCACAAAACTGACTGATTTTAGCACAAAACTGACTGATTTTAGCACAAAACTGACTGATTTTAGCACAAAACTGACTGATTTTAGCACAAAACTGACTGACTGTGATAGTGACATTCATTCCTTGGCTCTGCATCCGAGTCTAATTGTACTTGTCTTTATCTGTTGAAATGGTTGGCCTGCTACAGTCAACCCTGCGAATATCGGCCCTCGTTCGGGGCAAACGAGAAATGTGTTGGTATGCACGAGGTGTCGTTTTTCGAGAGGTTGGAAGTATGCAGGCAAGTGGTTGCTTCGTCCGAAGATTGTGTTGCTATTCGCGAATTGTTATGTCCGGGGTCGTTGTTTGCGAGGTTGCCTGTATCCTCGTACACCACTTGTACTGGACTTGTTCCTTCTCTAATGTAACACCGGTGGTGTTTCTCGTATGTCGTAGCACTACAGCCGGTAACATTCGAAGATTATGCTGCCAGAGCACTGCAGCCTTTCGAGGAGCACAACGTCCCCGAGGTGGCCTTGTCTATGATGGGGAAATCGCTGGATGATGCTATCGAGGTCCTTGAAGATCTAGTTGTCAATTGTCTGGCAGCCGTGAGTATGACTTGCTTGTTTTTAACTATATGTCCGTTCTCTGTGCCGTGAAAGTTACCCTGCGGACACTACCTGTTTAGGTAATATAATATTGCATACGTGCGAGCTGTGCTCTCCTCGGCGTGCGTTTGTGGCGGACCTGGCACATCTGCAAATACTGGTGCTGGGGTATATGCGGGCGTTTACAGCATTGACGGGCTGTTTTGGTGTCAGTATTCGTTCTATGCATGTTACGGCACTAGAGATTGCCCTCATCATCGTCGTCATGATCACCATGCTCGGCATCATCTGGTTTTTGCCAACCTTTTGGTGTATGATATTGTTAGCATTGTGGCTGTACAGGTGTATGTATGTACTTGTGCTGCAGACAAAGACTCTTCGAAAAAGGAACACTGACCCGGAGATTCAGGTAGGATTGCTACTGCCATTCAGACTTGAGTAGGCAATTTTGTGTAGTGGATATTGCCTGCTGCTGCTGCTGGCATTTCTTTTGCTCTGCGGACGACAGTTGCTTTTGGCATTATGTGTCATGTGGTGCGTACCCTGCAGAGCTATTCCCCTGTTTGAACAAGGCCAATGCGTGTGTGTGTGTGTGTGTGTGTGTGTGTGTGTGTGTGTGCGCGCGTGTGTGTGCGCGCGTGTGTGTGCGTGTGTGTGTGTGTGTGTGCACGCGTGTGTGTGTGTGTGCACGTGTGTGTGTGCGTGCGTGTGTGTGATTGTGTGTGTGTGTGTGTGTGTGTGTGTGTGTGCACGTGTATGTGTGCGCGCGTGTGTATAGCACCCGCGTTGGGAAGGGGGGGGGGGGGCACACGCGTGTTGTATGAGATTGCCATGCATTCTGACCTTATGATATTGTCTGTTTTGACACTGGTGAAGAACCTTGCATACTAGAAAGATGGGTGTGTTGAGAAGATGTCGTAAAGCCATGTCAAGTGAGATAGAAAGTAGAAAATATTAGAAATGCATGGCAACCCAGGCATGTCTACTCACTCTGTTGAGATGTGGTACATGTATCTTGTTCTGCATGTGCAGGCATAAGTTACGATGACGTATGCGCATAGTTACCTGTGTTTCACTAGTTGTGCTCCATGCCGCCATTACGTTACGTGTGCGCGACTGTCTGTTTGAACTACAGGGCAGTTGTATCATCACATGCCCAATGGCCGACTCCAATTATGTGTTGGCTCTCTGTGCCTCTCTTCCCTCGGGTCTTCAGCTTGTGAGAATGAGAAGGCATAGTGTGTCAGTACCATACCCCCCTTCCCCCCCCCCCCCCCACACACACATCGGTTTAGCCTTTGTCTCAAGGCGGCTTGCATCATGCTGGTGTGTGGATAAGTTTTCTCTTTTTTTTGGTTTCCCGCAGCGCACTCAACTCAAGCATCATTTCGAGACGAAGCTCAAGGATCTTCTTGATAGCACTGGGTTCCGTAACTTGTTGAACCTCCTTGTCCATGAGTCGTCAACAGCGTCCAATCACCAGCTTATTCGGGTACGGTACAGTGCATGTAGTGACACACTTTGCAATGAGGGCTTGCACGCGTATGTGTGAGTGTGTGCACGTGTGTACGCGCATGTGTGTGTGTGTGGGTGGGTGGGTGCGTACGTGTGTGTGTGCATGCATGTGTGTGTGTGCATGTGTGTGTGTGTGTGTGTGTGCGCGCGCGCGTGCGTGTGTGTGTGTGCTTGTGTGTGTGTGTGTGTGTGTGTGTACGTGTGCATGTGTGCGTGTGTGCGTGTGTGTGTGTGCGTGTGTGTGTGTGTGTGTGTGTGTGTGTGTGTGTGCGCGCGTGTGTGTTAGCATCAGATGTAGCGTATGGTCATTGAGGGTTTTTTCTATTTCTCTCTTACCGCAGACAATGGCTGCTCTGTCCAATTTTTCCGAGGAGGAGTGTATAATTGCCATAAAGCCTATTGTGGAACGCTTGGCAAAGCCTATCAAGCCAGTGATGGGTCGGCTATCAACTGGCGAACTCACTGCTTTCTTCCACACATACTCCGTGTTCCAGGTAGGTGGATACTGGATAGTGGTTTGCCTGTTGGTGTTGTGCTCTGCAAGCACTCTTGCCAGGCACCTGTCGGTACGAAGCGAGGATTCAGCACTGGGTCCTGGGTCGTTGTTTGTCAAATTTATCGTTTTTCAGTGTGTTATTTTTTGTGCTCACTGATTTGTTGTGAGCTGTTATTTCAGTGTCTGGGTTGCCAGTAGTTATTGCTTACTTCCTGCAATGCTGAATCTAGTTTATTTTGCCTGGCTAAAGTACTTCGCTGCTGTATGTCTATGTGTAGTGTTGTGGTTTAAAAATGGAGAATATCACAGTAGAATTGCACGCAGAACAATTATTTTGTTCATGCTCTTTTAAATGTTGGCTGCACCGCATGCACTGTGTCTGAATCGTGCTCGACAAGGTTTTGGTCCAGCCGAATCGCGCGAAGGTTGTCTTACATGCCAGCCGATGTCAACCTTCCCAATAAACAATGTAATCAGTTCAGTTGAATATATGCCTACTTATATGCCTGGCTCTCTTTACTGTAAACAATCGGCGTGGAGACAATAACTCTCTTTACTGCATTTCCCATTGCCTAACAGATCAGCGATGCCACGGCGTGGAAAGAGGCCATGAACCAGATCAACAACCGCTTCAACCTGTTTGAGGTGGGTGACCTGACACAGCTGATGGTGTCGCTCACCAAGGCTCCCTACCTGGCCGACACCGTGTCCTACTTTCTCACCAAGCTGAGCGTGCGCGTCCACCCGCTAATGACTGGCATGAGCCCCGATGCTCTGGTCAACACGCTCAAGGCTTACAAGACTACAGCTCTATCGGTAAGTAGCCACCGTACTGTACAGTGCTACAGTTATGTGCAGTCTGTCCAGCCTTGCCACCATTCCAAAGCAGGACACCCACAGTAGAATGTATACAAAGGAAATTATCTCCCGTGTAAATGTATACAAATGTTTTGGTCCAAAGCAGGAGTGACTGTCTTGGTCCAAAGCAGGACGGTTGGACAGTCTGTATGTGACTGTCTTGGTCCAAAGCAGGACGGTTGGACAGTCTGTATGTGACTGTCTTGGTCAAAGCAGGACGGTTGGACAGTCTGTATGTGACTGTCTTGGTCAAAGCAGGACGGTTGAACAGTCTGTATGTGACTGTCTTGGTCCAAAGCAGGACGGTTGGACAGTCTGTATGTGACTGTCTTGGTCAAAGCAGGACGGTTGGACAGTCTGTATGTGACTGTTTTGGTCCAAAGCAGGACGGTTGGACACTCTGTATGTGACTGTCTTGGTCCAAAGCAGGACGGTTGGACAGTCTGTATGTGACTGTTTTGGTCCAAAGCAGGACGGTTGGACCGTCTGTATGTGTAAACCTTGCTTGATAGTTTAGCAGTAGGCACGCCAAGTAGTGTGCATTTGGGGTCAAATCTCACCTAGTGCCACTGCACTTTCCTTCCAGTCCAGTGAGAAATATACAGACACTATGCGCCGCGGCTTGCAGCCAGGCTAGCTACTGTAATAATCATACTGAATCGTTAATTTTAGTGACGGTCGAATTTAGCGATAATGGCGAAAGGAGTGTTTTCGCTTTTAAGTGTAGTCACGACAGTCGAAAGTTGCATGAATCTTCAGTCTCCTTTCTTCTGACATGAAAGGCTGATCGCTAAAAGTTTACCATGCATATTCGTGCTGGGTTTACACTAAAGTTTTCACCTGCCGAAATTAGCAATTTTTCAGTGTTAAACCGGGGTTCAGATAAGAGAGGTATGACGGCCATGTTTCTGGTTTCTTGTTGCCTCTGAGATGCCTACTGTGGCACCCACATTGCCTTTCCCAAGTGCTGTCCATCATGTCAGGAGCTTGTTTCCGAAAGAAAAAAATGCGATTCAAGACTAAAGGCCCGAGTCACGAATATGACTTTGACTGCAAGCAAGTTTAAAGTGTAAATTAGCGTATTGGACACTAGGGACTATTGTGTTGTGACTGCTACACTGGTGTAACTTATTCTCTGGAGATTACAGCCAGTGCACATGTACTTCACTTTTAAGTTCTTGACGTATGCCTTTCACACGGTTGGCTTCTAGTATGTGGCAGGTGTATCAGCCGCTCTGGTCTTCAGATTAGAGTTACGGTGGTTGGCAATTTCCCATTGTGTGTGTGTGTGCGCACACGTGCGTGTGTGTGTACGTGTACGCGTGCGTGCGTGTGTGTTATAGGATCGCAAAGGGCCCAGCAGCAAGTTCCGCAACCATGCCCTGACTGAGCTGATGGCCAGGTTCACCGAGCTGCCCGACACACTGGTCTACGACGTCGTGGTGACCATGATGGAGTCTGCAGAGAAGAGCAGTGGTCTGGGAGCATGCCTGGACACTTATCTAAAGGACAACTACCGCCTATGGTCGCAGGAATCACTACTAGTCTTCCTCAAGGTATAGAATGAATTCTCTGCTAGTAGCGTCTCGTGGAGTGGGTTGGTTCGCAGGAATCACTACTCGTCTTCCTCAAGGTATAGAATGAATTCTCTGCTAGTAGAACTCGTGGAGTGGGTTGGTTCGCAGGAATCACTACTCGTCTTCCTCAAGGTGTAGAATGAATTCGTTGCTAGTAGCGTCTCGTGGAGTGGTTTGTTTGGCAAAGCTCATTGTCGCAACCCTTTGCTATGTTCCTTGCACCATTCGTACTGCTCGACACACCGACGTCCTTGCAGCACAGCTAGCACAATACAAGAGACTGAATGAGCCCATTGCGCAATGACGTAATTTGTACCATAAACTCCCCACACAGCCGCCTGGGCATGGTCGTCTGGGATGTTGGCAATGCGCAATGGGCTTCATGACTGGGCGTCTGGCTCGCCAGTGATGTGGTTTCTAGGCTGAAGAAAAACCAAATTGCTCTGGAAATAGGGGTTGTGTTATTATCCTGAATATATTTTCCATTGTTGTATTTTGCTGCCGTCTGTCGTTCTCTGGACAGTACATGTATGCAGCTGGCGCCGTTCCGTCACCGGTCATTGTTGACTCGCTATTGATCAAGATCTTTGAATTGGTGAAAACCAGCTCGCCGAAAGCCTACATGGAGGCTGCCTGTTTCTTAGCTGATCACGGGGTGAGTGCTAGTCTCAGCATAGGTGTGTGTGTGTGTGTGTGTGTGTGTCCAGGACCAGGACCGTGTGTGTGTGTGTGCGCGCGTGTGTGTGTGCGCGCGTGTGTGTGTGCGCGTGTGTGCGTGCAGGTGTGTGTGTGTGTGCGTGCGTGTGCGTGTTATGCATATCACTTTGTGCCTTTGCACTCACATACTTCTGAAGTACATGTACTCGTGTTTAACTACAACACACAGCATCTTGCGGTTAGGAGGGTGTTGGCTACGGAGAGAGCAGGATCTTGGCGGAGCCAAGAGGATAGTCACGTCCGAGGGACGAAGACCGAGAGCCCTGAGTAGCCGGAAATGAGCATGGCCAACACCCCTTTATTTACTTTATCAAAGTTAAATGATTGATAAATATGGTGGTAAAGACACACCTGGCAATATGGCGGTAAACACACGCCTGCCCACACACGCTCTCTAGGCTGCAAAGTTCTGGCACAGAGCTCTCCTTCTCACCACCACCACCATCAGTTCGCGCCTGGCGCCTGGTCGATGCATGGCTGGCGGTATCCGGCATAGCAGGCTGGTACATCAAGTAGCGCATGGCACATAGATGATGACACAGCAACGACATAGCTCGATTGCGACGTACGTTTCGTCCCCGCTGGACTCATCAGGCAATCTTCTTCTTGGATGTCTTCATACGGAGCTTGACTCGGGAGAGCTCTGTGCCAGAACTTTGCAGCCTAGAGAGCGTGTGTGGGCAGGCGTGTGTTTACCGCCATATTGCCAGGTGTCTTTACCACCATATTTATCAACCATAAGTACAGCTGCAGTGGTGTCTTCAATTTCATTCTCCAAAGTTAAATGAGAGATGAGAAATGGGAGGTGGGTGGGTGAAACACAACGATCTGACAAGAGTGATCCACACACAGAGCGGATCGAAATATATAACTACAGTCTGTTTCAAAAAGATTAGCAATCAAGTTTGGGTCTTAAAAAGTATGAAGATAAGGGAAATTTGGACAACAAAGTACATAAAACGGGTTGTCAGGGCACGGCAAATTGTTCTGTGAAGGCTTCGGAATAATTGGACCAACCGTTAAGGAGTTAGTATTTCGGCCAGGTTTCTGGCCTTTTCCCATGGTTTATAATTTGCCCTGGAAGCCAGTATCGATTTGTTATCAAAACCCACGATTTATCCATTCCTTTTTGGCCTTGTGGTTATGAATGCTGTCTGCTGACCATGAAGTTGTGAGTTCAAATCCCAACAAATCTTCAAGTCAAACATTTTTTCTTCATTTTTTCATTGTTTTGGTGATCACGCTGGTACAAGACAAAGAAGGTGGCTGCGCCAAACGACTTATTGTTGGAGCTCGCGTTTCCTGCCGAGCTGACTGACACTTGACTGGCTCACGCCATGTGAAGTTGTGAACACATACAACACTGAAACCGTGTGAGTGAACACGGAATTCGGAAGTCATTGCGCTGTAGCTACGTGTTGTTGAATACACCGGCACATCGATCGATCGATTTCTGTTTGAGAATTTTTAGTATTTGAAGATCGCCAATTATTTATTTGAATTTAGGAGTCAACGCCGTCTTCTATCAGCTTTCACAGGCGTCTGCTTTTCTCAAAATGTCGTCGAAGTCACACGGATAGCTTTGCCACTTCGAGGCCTTGGGAAGGAGTCTGTGTCGATGCCGTTTTCGTCACATCGTGAGAGTAAATTGCACCCCGGCAGCTCAAAGAATCTATTTGGTCACAAAACGGACGCATCCCGCTCGTCAAAATTTACCACACTTTCGACATGTCCTCTCTGACTCCATATCGATGCGAGGAAGAACTCGTTTGTTGTAAACCAGACGAACATGTACGAGTACCGACGTCATTGTCATTTTTCATACTTTCGCGCGGAATATTTCTTCGAGTTCACAGTGAGTTTTTCCAGGCAGCGCTCGAGCGCTCATACGGTAAGACGGCAAACTCCCCGGGCGATCGCCAGGATTGCTAATCTTTTTGAAACTGACTATAGGCAAACTTTAGCATGCCACGTTGAGTGCCCACGACGCATGCCGCCTACGTTGAGTGTCGCGCATGAATGAATGCCACGTTGAGTGTCACGTTGAATGACACATAGAACTCCACGACGCATAGAGTGCCATGTGAGCATGCACCAAGGCGTTTGACCGACATGGATACCGTGATGAACAGTGCACGTGACTGTAGCCAGCAGCAAAGCATGAGCATGCAGTAAAAGCGCTAGCTATCATAGCAGCATAATTTGAGTGGTAGCACGAAGCAGCCGCGGGCACCCATTAATCTGCATTATTACTATAATGCTACATTTGCGACAGGGAGTAGCCTCTGGCGTTTGGGACTAGAATGAAATATGTAAGTAAGGAGAAAGGACCAATAAATTACGAGTTATGACTAACAGTCCACCAATGTAACAAGATATTACACCGTCGATAGTGCCGCGACAACTAAGCACATGACTGACAGGGGTATTGAGACATTCAACGACCTGACACCTGATCACGTATTGGTCCTTTGTCTTTACTTCAATACTATTGGCTAAACATCCGAGTTATATTGAAATATGTGCATTCTCTATGTGTATCTGGTGTGGAAAGTTCCACCTGCTTCTCAGCTGAACTTGACGAAACCCGTTCCGATCTCTCTGTACAGATGTTGTCTCGCACCCTGGCTATGGTGATTAGCAAGGAACTAGCTGATAACCCGCAGCGGTTGAACAACATTGACCTGATGCAGCTGTCCAAGGTGGTCGGCGTGATCAAGAACGTGGATCAGAACCCACTGCCGCGCCAGATACCGCGTCACCTCTGCAAGTACCTACCGGCAATGGGCTATGATGATCAGCTGCATGCCATCGAGGCCCTGCACAGCATGGGCTCACACGATGAACGCCTGATCACGGTATGTTGGTGCTAGTGCTGGTGGTGGCGGTGTTGCTGTTGTCGTAACGCATGACGTCGTTCTTGTTCTTAATATGCCCCTTTATGTTCCTTACCGCTGCAAAAGGTGTCGGATTAGAGAGGGGCGAGTGTGACACTGTCTGTGCCGTACCTGTGTGATTGCAGACCCTGGATGGCCTATGGGTGCGTTAGCCACTGTCCCAAGTGCACAGTACCCCTGTATCACTGTCTGTGTGCCATACGTGTGTGATTGCAGACCCTGGACGAGCAGCTGATGTCAGACCTGGCCAAGATCCCGCTCAACCTCAAGTCGGTCCTGTTCAGCTATTTCCGCGGTGCCCAGGAAGCTGGTATTCCCGGAGCAGAAGAACTGGTGGAGAAGTGTGCTGGCGACCTGTCTGGACTCAGCCTGCCCTGGGACATGGTAAGGTTGCGAGCTCCGCGCATTTCAACTAGCTGTCTCTGTTTCTGGACATTCTTCGGTTCACTCGGAGAGTATCGTATTTTTCGGAGTATAAGCCGATTACATCTTCCCGTAGCCTCTACTCATGCAGTATTGGTGCATCTGTTTGTTACTGCACCTCTGAGGGCCATACATGTCGGTGCAATAGCAAGGATACTTTAATATTACTAGTAATAATTCTATGCAAGATATGGTGACTGACATAGTGCATGGACTATGGAGGCTCCTACCGGACATACAGTCTAGTTGACCACCTCAACTTGCATCTGCAGCGCTGCCAAATAATTTTCGCCCAAAATCGGACACCCTTCACCGCCAAGGCTGGCCACATGGTGCGAATTTTTCTCCTCGGCAATTTTTTTACAGAGAATTCAAAATATCGCCTAAAACACCCTGAAAATTTGCTTCATTGCCATGGTAACCCCGGAGTTGTCAAGAATTTTGTAATGATGAGTGTGGTCGCACACTGACTCTGTAGTCTGTACAGACTGTCAGCGTACATGCCATCCAACCTGATCCAGGCATGTTACTTTGCACTTCCACAGCCAAGCGCTAGCCTTTTTAGAAGCAAATGTACAGTGATTTGTGCCTTCAGTTGCGCTGAAAAGTGAAAGCACAGGACTTCTGCTTAGGAAAGTAACAAGATACATGTACATGTACATGTACTGTTGAAAGTAATGATCTCTGACATTTTGGCTGCTTTTCGGACGTTTCCCTTTCGGACCGGTTTTCAGAAGAGCCTTCAAAAATCGGACGGTTTGGCAGCACTGCATCTGCATAACTGTGCTCTCTGTAACTATACCCCTTTGCTTGCACAGTCTATGCGCATCCTGCACAGCTTTCAGACAGCACCGCCGGCAGGTGGGCTCTCGGACCAGATGAGCAATTTGAGGCACGTGGCCGCGCGCTCCGGATTGGATCAGTTTGTAAGTTACTCCGGCTTCTTGTAGTTTGAGCACTCTATCGCTAGAACAACGAGCTATCTTAATGTCTGTTTTGCAATACGTGTGCCACGGCCGGTAGTTCGGCTTACTTAAACTAAAGCTCGTACCTGCACTGATGAGGCTTAGATGGCCGAAACAGCTAGCTGTCCACAGCATCAGTTACTCCAGTTATAGATGGGTACTTCCGTTTCAGTAGCTGGTGTGTCTGCTGAAAATGTGGCCGCATTTGGTGAACTGGGCACTGTGTGCGTGTGTGGGTTGCTGGACATTGTTTTTATAAGTTGCAGCGCCATTCCTAGGTCTTTGTGGTACAGTGTCAGTGTGTTCACTGTTTGGGCGTGCTGCCATGCGTATGGGCTGGAACTGGTAGTGTTGCAAAAGAAGGATCCACGGGCGGAATTCGAGCCAGCCCCCTGTCTTACTGGGACAGTGTCCTACCGATTAGGCTACCGGGGATCACGCACACTCACACACGTATGCACGCACACACACACGTGCACACACATACGCACACATACGCACACACACACACACACACACACACACACACACACACACGCACACACCTCAGAACTCAGACATGCCCATCGCGGAAGCGATGATAGTGAACAGCTATGTTAGACATAGCAACTTGTGCTGGGATTACACCACTCAACAGCTTGCAAGGCTGATGAATTGACCGCCACTATTTTTAGCCTGGTATCCACCACACAGCTGTTTGAAGTGACTTTTTGTGGCCGGTGAATCTCTATTTTTCATTTTTCTTTTTTTTACTACACACACACCACACCACATACTCCGGCATACACTGGCTGTTGGTAACCACCCAGGAGAATGAAAGAAAAGTCAGGAAGAGTCCGAGAAAGGGAAGAAAGACGTGTGCGACCATAATCGTCGGGAATTGAACCCGCAACCTCTCGATTGACACACACACACACACACACACACACACACACACACACACTCACACACACTCACACACACACACACACGGCCCCTTCTTGCTACAGTAACACCCTTGCTACCTTGGCAACGTGTCTGGATTTGTTCGAATCCTCTGGTCTTACTGTCAATCCAGTGATGAAAGATTACAACGTTGCTGGTGTTAGTGCTGCTGTTTCTGTTGTTTTCCTTCATCTTGTTTTCTTATCATCTTGTTTCTTGCTGTTGGGTTTCTGGGTTTTGTAGATGACAACCAAGGAGATTGGTGTGTCTGCCATTGATCATCTTTGGTTAGCCATTGTTTCCTTCTCTCACGATCACGACAACCTGAACGATGTAGACCGTGATTTGTATGAGCGTCTGTTGCGCTGTGGTAAGCTGTTTTGGCGACTGGCTGTGTTCTTTGAAGTTACTAAGCAGCTGAGCATGTGTGTGTTTGTGTGTGTGGGGGGGGGGGGGGGGGGTGCATGCGTGTGTGTGTGTGTGTGTTGGGCATGCGTATGTATGTATGGAGATGAGGGCGGGGAGGGGGGGATTGTGTTAGGGCATGTTCGATTGGTAGGATCGGGATCCAGATCAACTGGATCCACTGGATTTGTACCCTTTCGATTGGCCTGGAGCTATACTAGCTGTTGAAGGAAGTGCATTCATGTTCTCTTAAGGTGCCCCCCCCCCCACGCATACACATACACAACATGGTCCTCTCATCTAGTGTCATGTTAGTGGAGGTGACACCCTTTACTTTTGTAGTAGTTAGGAGGGCCTTTACAATAGGTCCTGGCGGGTTAGTGTTAGCTTCCATTGTGAGTTCTCTTCGGAACGGAGACGAAAGTTTACTTTTAGCTTTTTTAGGACAGGTGGTTGGTTGCCTTTAAGGGTGGTCGCAAAGGTTTTTTGTCGTCCCTGAAACGAACATCGTTCCTTTCGTACTCGGACCCCTCCCCTCCCTATGGTGTTGATGTATTGCATCCTGTCTGTCCTATTTTCTGCTTTGTGTGGTCAGTTGGTAAGCTGCCCGTGTTGTCAATGGAAAGTCAGACGGCTGCCAAGGGTGAGCTCATCTACCAGCTGATCACGACGCTGTACAACCTGGTCGACCTGGAGACCACCGCCGGCGCCGAGTCGCTGGAGATGGAGTCTGTCATGGGCTTGCTGCACTTGCCACTGTCGCTTCGAGTCGCCTGGCTGCGCGACACCAAGACCGACCAGTTCTTCGACATCTTGAAGATCGTGGCCAAGTGCCTGAAAGACCATCCGGTTGATTTGAAGAGCTGGCTCTCATCAGTAAGTAGTTTTTTTGCTTCAAGTGTTTGTCAAGTTTTGAAGCAAAAACAAGTGCCCAGGTTGTATATCATTCATTGCATGTCCCACACTGCTCGTCAAGAAAACCCGATCAATCAAGCCAGTCAATGCGATAGTTTTCTACTTAACTGGCTAGTATGACCGTGGAGAATTTCTCCCTGCATTACCGTATTTGCTCTATAATAAACCTTGCTCGGATACTGGACCATGTTGGAGTACGGAGAAGAGGTAGGTAAATTAAGAGAGCGAAAAACCAGTTCACCGTACTGGACTAGTAAACCGGGCAATTCAGCGCTGGTACTGGTGTGCCATGCCCGACAAGCTCCTGATGCACTGTTCCATGTTTGTCCAAAACGACTGGAGTGTTGGAGTAGAAGACGATTCTCAAACACAAGAAGACCGT